CCGCAACAGGCTCCCAGGTTGGCATCTGCGAAAGAATGTAGCCAAAGACTCTCAAGTACTCTCTCCTGACGATGGCAGACTCCTCACGAGCTCCAGTGTAGATAGAAGGCAACAGAATAGTCTTCAGATGGGCTTCGAAGCCGCTCTTGGATGTCTCGTCTGAGCAGGCCGCCACCTCTCTGATGAATTTGCGCAGGGAGTCTGCAGAGTTCGATGCCAGGATACCATATTCCTCGTCGGAGCGGATATAGTAAATCAAGTTGTGCAATAGAGGAAGCCACTGCTTGACATTGAAAGGCGTTTCCGTGTTGGTGATTCGGTTGAAGGCGGCGAGCCGCTTGTCGTAGTCTGGCTCGTCGATACGGTTCGGTGCGAAGGCATTGAGGTCACGGCAGATTTCGGCAATCTCCTGAAGGGTCGTATCCTTCTCGGCCAACACTGTGAGGACGCGGGCCAAAGACTGCCTGTTGTCCCTGTCTTTGAAGTAACTGAAGAGCGAAGACAGGGTCTCGAAGATGGCAATATCAGCAGTCTTCTCTTCCGCTTCCTCGGAGCTAAGAATGGTGATGAATCGCTCCAGAATGAGGAGAATCTTGCCCTTGGCTCTGGGGTTGACTCTTCTCGGAGGCTGATTGAGGAGGAAAGTTGCGATCTTGAGTGTCTCACGCACGTTCGCCGAGGTCTCAACAAGCGGAGAAAGCTCGACAATGGTCTCAATACAAGACTCGAGCAGTTCATTGCTCATGGTTTGCGTCTCCAGCGTCGTAGTGACGGTCTTCAACATCAGCTCCATGTTTGCATCCAGAAGCTCAGTACGAATGAGCTCATTGAACTCGGATTCCACAGCTGGTGCCTCTGCTATCTTGATGAGGTTGCGGATGATGCTGAGGGCGAAAATCTTGACGTTTTCCTTCGCCTTGGGCATCGACACGCACTCGACAACCTTGGGCAGGATCTGGTCGTTGATCGAGATGAAGAGTGCTGCCTTTGGCAGCTGAGACCAAGTCGAGACAAGCTGCATGATGCTAGAAATTGACTGGGCCGTCTCAACGGGGAGCTTCTCGATCCTGGGAGCAACGACCTCGTTGACAATGGGTTCAGAGTATGGTGTCCAGTTGAAATCTTGGGCATTGCGGAACAGTGCAATGAGACACTTGACACCGACAGTCCGAATGGTCTTGAGCAGAGACTCCTGAGATTCCTCGTTCGTTTCCTCCACCTCTTCATCTGACTCGACGGTAGTTGACTCCTTGAGCCGTCGGCATGCAAAAATGAGACAGTACAGAACAGGATTGAGCAGTTTTTCAACGTACGGACCCACGTGCTGCCCCAGCTCATTGATAAGGGGCAGCATCATGTTCATGAAACCAGTCTGCTTGCGAACGGGAAGAATTTCTCGGTCAAACAAATTGGTGCGGAAGCCGGAGTCATCAACGACACGAGCTCCTTTCAGACACCCAATAGCGATGTCCAAGAAGCTGCCTGTATCTTCAACGCTGAGGGTTCTCAAGACGGCCAAACGAGTGGCCTGCAGACCATGTCGACCACTGGAAACACCCTTTTTGGAAATGGTCCGTCCGTACAACAGCCGCAGAAGAACGGGCATAAGCTCTCCGCGATGTTCAGGTTGGATCGTTGATTCACCTTGGAGGAAGACTGTGAGTTCGTTCTTGAATCTGGCTTCATCGAGTAGGTACTCCAGGTTCTCCTGGTAAGGCCGAACGCCCGCTTGCTTCCAGGAGAGGATAGCTTTCAGCGCCAGCTTTTGCACCTCCACATCACCATTTTCCATGAGGTGAAGCAGTGCAGTGTAGACCCTTTCGTGCTGGTAGAGCGCTTTCGGGTTGATGAAGAGAGCGAAAACACCAACCAACGCCTTGCGATCGTAAAGAGACCAGTCTTCACTCTTGACTTCAGCATCCTCATCATCCTGGCTTTCTGACGAGTTGTCTTCATCAACAGCAGCCCAAGACAGGAAAAAGGGTACGAGTTTGCGAGAGCGCTTCTCGGCAAAGTGAGGCATGGCAGTAAGCACCTTCAATGCCTGTGCTCGAGCATTGCCAGCGTGAGCTTCGACAGTCTCCTGCTGCTTGTCAAATGACTGCAGCATGAGATCGATGGCGTTGTTGACAACCTGCTCCACCTCCTCCGCCGTGCTCCAGAGCTCTTGCATGTGCTGGCAGTCAAAATCGGTGATGGCTTGGCGACCCTGTAGTGTGGGCTGACTGAGTGGTCCAGACCATCTTGGAGAAGGTGTCTCTAACCAACTGAACGCGGTCGTCGCAATAGCCTCTTCGCCAGTCTTGGTAGCGCCAACCAACTTCAAAGCTGTGATGGTATCGTCCCATAATGGGGAGAGCTTGACCGTCAGCATGCCGAACATGAAGGAGGGAATTGCCTTCAAGAGCCACGAGTTCTCGCTCAATTGTGAGTAATTTTGTCCAAGTTTGCGAAGATGCATCGCAATATTCCTCAAGCTGGAGGGTTCCAGAGGGGTGTTTCCGATGTCCAGCATAAGAGTGAGACAATGGTGTTCATCGGGAAGTGACTCGAATTGCTGGAGGATCTTGAGAGACGCAAGACGGGGTTCATGCGAAGGTGCCGAGAGGTTTTCGATAAGGGCCTCAACAACCGGATCCTCTTCTGAGCCCTCACTGCTATCACTGCTCTGACGGTCGACGGGAGGCGGTTGGTTTCGTGTGAGCTCGGTGTAGGTGAGATAAGCCTCCAAGAAGCCCACCGAACGGCTGAACCTGGGAAGAGCAGCACGAAGGAGCGGGTCCAAGGCTGGATCGACTGGCCCTGCCGCTTTGCTCATTCGCAGGTACGCGTGGAAACCCTGGCTGATGCTGAAGTGAACCTCGTCTGACGCCAATGTAGTTGAAGGCTTGAGCGCCAGCCTCAGTTTTCGAAGTAAAAGTTCCGCAATCTTCGCATTGGCTGAGGGGTGAACAGTCGTCGAGAACAGAAGATCCAACAAGGCAGAGTACTTTGGCAAGCACCTGTCTCTCCATGTTTGAGGGTCCTTATCATACGCGCCGCGCTCGGGGAAGGGCGTGCTTTCGAGTCGCTCAAACTTCGACACGATCTGGTCCTGCCAGCTGCGCGGGAGGTTGCACGTCTCCTTTGCTCCCGGCGAAGGTAGACTTCCGTTTTGCACCATGCGAGGAAGGAAAACACACAGCATATCTTCGTTTTGACCATCGGACCAGTGACTGACGATGAATCTATTGTCTGGTTAGCTTCAAGGAGCCCAATGGCAGAGTGAAGGCATATATACCTTTGGAAATATGTCTGGAATAGACTTCGGAATCGTGTCGAGTCTAGCTGGGAGAAGTAGGCACAGAAGGGAATGTACCACCTCATGAGCCTCTCCCTCTGGAGTGCATTCATGAAATCCTTCATGCAGGGAATAAGTGCTTCAACCGGCGCTTGATGCCACACAATCGCAGCATTGACGATGACATGTTTCCATACAAGATCCAGCTTATCTTCTGTCACCTCAGGGGCATGTTGTGTCGTAGAGACCAACATGGCAGTCAAGTTTTCAACGAGAACGGGCCAGTTGCTGATGCGGTTTCCGTGACGAACACCCGCTGCTGTGCCAAGAACCCTGATCAGTGGGACAAACTTCCAAGTCTTGCTTGGCTTGGAGTCGTTCAAAGCCGCCTTAACTTGCTCCTGAATCGCCTCGAGAACGTCGGCGAGATCCTTATCGTTCGAGTGGTGGATAATGCTGGTCAAAACACCGCATACCAAGTCGGTCCACGTCGTAGTCTGAGTGAGATCCGCTTCCGTCTCGGGTATCGCCTTGAGGAGAGACACAAATAGGGCCGGTCCGGTCGAGTGAATGGTCTGGCCGGGACCCTTCATGGACTCTGCAAACATGGTCATGAGGCCATCCTGGTACAGCTGGAATGAGCGTTCGCCGACACTGCTCCGGAGATCGTCTCTTGCGTGGCTGACAATCGCGGTGAGGGCGGTCTCTCGGTGACCGGGCGCTGCAGCCTTCTTGATCAAGAAACTCAAAGCTTCGGCGGAGAAACGGGCAATGTGAGGAGGATGACGAGCCCTTCCCAAGAGAGGTGCTACAACATCATATGTTGGTCGCAGATTAGGCACAATTAGCCTAGACAGGTATTTGAACAGGAAAGCCAGCGCTGCGAAGGTCCATTCGATAACGTCGGCGTCTTGCGGCTTGGCGGCAATGGCAACAATAAGATCGAGAGACTTTGCGTAGTACTTTTCGAACCTCGTTCCAATATCATGCGCAAATGCTGTGAGCAGTTCCAGGAGCGGCTCTAACATCTCCTTATCCTGCTTCGCCAGCGCCTCGGCTAACAAGTTGAAGATCTTCTCTTCATGGTGCAGAATCTGGGCCAGCGTCTCGCTCATGTACCATGCTTTCGTCTTGACGTCGTAGAATCCCTTATAGATATTAAGTTCTGACCATTTTTGCAGGCCAGTTCGGAAGTAGGAGGTTGTGGATTCGAGGTCTTCGGCTTCGAGGTCGTGTCGGCGGACTTTTCGCAGAGGATCGAGTGCGTTGAGTTTCGCGATTTTGGCTGCGAATGACTCCCACCGGTGGTTCTTTGAATGGGGAGTCAAGTTCTTGCCCTTTCGGGACTTTGTGATCCGCCCTGATGAAGTGGAAGGCATGTTGGGCGGTTTGACAGGTGTGGTGTGCAAAAACCCGTCGTGATCGCCTCCCAGCTTCACTGCTTGATCGCGAAAAAAAAGTTCCCCGCCAACTCTTCAGAGCTCAGCCAGAAAATTGAACTTTTTTTCTGTCGGCAGAAGGTCGGCCGATTACGATAACTGATAAGACGTATCTTTAATGGGTCTCGTCCAATGGTTGGGCTTGGATATAAAGGGGCCCACATTAGGTACTTTCGTCGCGCGCATCTTTCGGTCGCATCTTCAACTCCAAGCTTCCTCCACCAACAACCTGACCTCCAGCCACACAGCTTCAACCTCTGCACCCAAAGTCTAGAGGCGCAATGGCTGCACCCAAGGTGTACGTATCACACGAGTTGCAAGTGTAGATGCGCAACGTTTGAGACTAATCAAAGCTTTCAGGATCGTTTTGGGAAGCCTCAATGGCTCGCTGACACCTGCCTTCACGAAGCTCGCGACCCTCCACGCCAAGAACAGCTTCAACTTTGCCATTGTCACAGGCAATCTGTTCAGCAGCGAAGACGATACCACTGTCGATTCACTTCTCAACGGTGAACTGAAGGTCCCCCTTCCTGTCTACTTCACTGTCGGCACAGCGCCCCTTCCCCCAAAGATCGTTGCTAAAATCGAAGCCGACGAGGAAATCTGCGAGAACCTCCACTTCCTCGGAAAACGAAGTATCACGAAGACGTCAGAGGGGGTCAGAATTGTCGCACTCGGTGGAAGGCTCGACAAAGATGTGGTCGGAGGGCAATCCAAGGAGCAGCACCTCCCGTTCCACACAGCGGACGATGCGAAGTCGCTGAAGGGTGCAAACAAGGCCGACATCCTACTTACGACCATCTGGCCATCTAGTGTCTGGACAGGATCCAAGGTCGCTCTTACCCCAGAGAACCAGGCAGCGATTGAAAGCACGGCTGAGGTTGCTGAGCTGTGTGCGACCCTGAAGCCGCGATACCACTTCTCGTCTTCACCCACCGAGTTCTTCTACGAGCGAGAGCCTTTCGTGCACCCTCTCGAGGAAGGCGCAGAGGATGCGGCTGTCACTCGCTTCATATCGATGGCCCCCTATGGGAACGCAGCCAAGGCGAAGGCGCTATATGCATTCACAATCAGCCTTAACGAGACCAACGTCGAGAAACCCGCCAACTCTACTTTCACGCCCTTCAGCCAGAGAAAGCCAAAGAGGCGGGCGCAGGATGAGGGCTCCTACAGCCGCTTCGCCAACGGAGACGACGATGGCCGCCATCACCGCCGCGGAAATAAGCGCCGACGTCAGTCGCCTCCTCCCGGGCCGGACCGGTGCTTCTTCTGCTTGAGCAACCCCAACCTCGATACCCACATGGTCTGCACCATTGGCGAAGACAGCTATCTTGCTACTGCCAAGGGCCCTCTAGCCACATCCCAGACCTTTGAGGAGCACGGTATCAACTTCCCTGGCCACGTCATCATCACGCCTCTCGCGCATACACCAACCGTTCACTCGTCTGGCGTCGAGAGCTATACCCCTGAGGAGGCGGAGAAGACCCACAAGGAGATGACCCGTTTCCGCGAGGCCCTCCAGGCCATGGTATCGGCCAAGTCGAACCGCAAGCTGGGTGCCATCACCTGGGAAATCAGCCGCGGTCGCAACATTCACGCTCACTGGCAGTTCCACCCTATTCCCGCGGACTTTGTCTACAAGGGTCTTGCCGAGGCCGGCTTCCGGGTTGAGGCCGAGAACCTCAAGTACCCCGAGTTTGAGAGCCGCGAGATCTCGTTCGAGGACCAGGCCGACTTTGGCGACTACTTCCGCATCTGGATCTGGGCAGACGACGGCGAAGACAGAATTAAGGGTTCTAGTCTCGTGATGAAGCTCGATCCCAACATGCGCTTCGATCTGCAGTATCCGCGTAAGGTTGTCGCGAAGCTCCTCGGTCTCGAGAAGCGTTTTGTCTGGCAGGACTGCACGCAGACTAAGGAGGAAGAGGAGAAGGACGTGGCAGCTCTCCGCGAGGCTTTCAAGGAGTGGGATTTTGCGCTTCAGTGAGGCGCGCGGCACATCTAGCGGCGATATTGAGGGCGTTTGGCAAGTTTGAGCATGATTACATCATTACATCATTTTCCTGGCATGGCATTTGGCATGGGTGGCGTTTGGGGGATACCCAGGTAACCTGCATATCTTTGCTATACAAGCAGGCCAGCAGTGGGAAAAGATTATCATTTGGCTTTTCAAAGTACTTTTTTTTTTTCACGAGCGGAGGCATATCACAAGGAGCAGATCTATCCATGGCTTCTTTCGAACCGGGGATACTGGGGAAAGCTACGTTGCTTCATCGCTTAGGGGCTACGTTGGACCTTCATAGACAGGCGAGTTAGGCCTCAAAAAGTTTTTCTGAATCGTTTTCATCATTCTTGATCTCTGGTCAAATTTCATCTCTGCTCATTTCGCCGAGGCATGTGGTTCGAGTCGTGGATCCCATCGCGGGTCCCATCACGGATCCCAATTCCATTCAAATCATCTTCCGAATCTGAGATGAAGCCAACGATGCAACGATGCAACGATGCAACACAGCAACATAGCAACCGTAATGCCTCGTTAGAAACCCCCACAAAAACAGCTTTTCCCATCATGAAAAAGAACAAAACATGCGCAAGCACGGCAAAGGCGCCCTCGACGCCCGAATAAGCTTCTCCCTTGCTTGCCGCCACAAATGGACCCCTGATTTGTCTACATACTATCCATCTTAGGCAAAACTATCCACACGTGCAGGTGTCAGAGCCTCTTCGGGACACACTCGCAAGGGAGACTGAGACCAAGACCTTTTGACTTGGGCCCATTTCCTCTCACCGTTTGCCACTTTTCCCCATTCTCGAGATTCTAACCCCGGACGGGAAAAGATTCAAGACAATAGTGACATGCCACTGAGATGGCCAAGGCCATTTTGCCTTCCCGAAACGCAAAGAAATGGCCTTCTCAGCGGCAAATCACCTTTATACGCGGAACTACATCACGAAGTTCACACACTAGACTTTCCAGAATCCATAGCAAAAGTAGTGGAAACAGCACCTAGTCTCCGAGCTATACGGCTCAAGATTTTCACAAGAAAGAAAAGGACTCAGCTGAGATGTGACTACCCATAATCTGAGAGATGACAACAGAAAGCCGAATCACAACTATTGACATTCTCTCGCCGTATCCCCCAACGACGCTCACCTACCCACCTACTCCAACTGCCCACCTCAAGATTGGTGATTACGGCATCTCCCACCTCTGAGACAAAGTCTCGCCCAGGGAAGAATGTAGACCCCAACGGAAGTGGCTGAACTCTCTCTGACGAAATTTGGCTCGCTTGACTCGCTTGCATCGTTCATCCTAAAAGAGAGAGAAAAAAAAGCCACTGACGAACCACCACGCAAGGGAGAGAGAGAGAGCGCGGCTCAAAAAAACAAGCCACAAAAGAGCCCCGAACCCGAGCCCAACAACCAAAAACAAACAGCCCCAGCGTGTCCGGACCGAAACGTCTTTCTTCTTTCCGTCCTTCTTGAACCCCTTCGGTGAGCTTTCCTATTCGGGAAGCACAAGTCAAAAACCTTTGGTGCTCTGGCGGCTCTCAGGTTCAGTCGGTGGTGTGAGATGATCTGGCCTTGTCTTTTTTGGGGCTACTTCTCACCTAGCACGTGTCTTTGGTAAGGTAAAGTAGATGTTCTCTCCCCCGACGCCGAGTCCGTAGAACAAACGAAAAGGGACAAAGAGAATGGCGCTGAAACCACACCAAAAAAGCTGTTGAGCGGCTGGCTTGTAAAGTTTCTCTAGAGCCTACATAGTTACCTTTGCCCCATATGGCTTCAAACAATAGTACCCGCACACAAACGCACAATACATACGCTCATCTTACCCCGGCGCCAGAAACGTGTCTGCCCGCCTCTAACTCTAGGCTACTCTCTAGGCTACTCTACTGCTGCCGTCGCCCATCGTTGGACGGGACGCTACTCTTCTTTAATAGATGGCCTGTCACCATCCATTCTTCTCTCTTTGTCTATCGAGAACGAAGAAGCCGGTGAGGGATTTGTGATGAACAAGGGGGGAGAACTTATCCCTCTGCAACTCCGACTCGTGCGCGCCAACTCTCGACCATGACACGACACGTTCGCAAAAACCCGGGCCGGAAACGGCAACACGCCGCGTGGTTATTTGAGTTGGATACTTCACCAGGTAAGGACGCCTTCGCACGCACCATACTCATTATCTTGTATGGAGTCTATTCATCTCTTTGAATTCCCATGTAGCGAACATCACAATAGAGAAGGGGAACAAAAGGCCCGTAACCTTGAGCTCCGGACTCGGTCAAGTGACTAGTCCCTCTCCTCTCCTGGAATTGGAATCTGCCCAAGAATGCTCCAATAAGACCCTTCCTCTCCATCCCCCAATGGGGAAAAAACAAATTGTACCAATGAACGGATTTAGCATGCCTCCTCAGCAGTCAAAGAAAGGACCGTTAGGCCTGTATCACCGCTCGCTCGCGTGCTCGCGTGCTTACGCCCACCCTTCCCTACTACCCCCAAAGAAAAGCCACATCTTGACATTCTCATCCAAATAAAGCAACAGACGTTAGGCTGATGGGACATTGAGGCTGGCGGGAGAGTACGAAGTAAGGGGGGGGGGGGGGGGGGGGGAGGAGGAAAAAAAGGCCCCCCCCCCACCCCCCCCACCCCAACACCAACCCCATACGCCCCTAAAAAAAAAACAAGGGCGGGGGGGGGGGGGGGGGGGGGGGGGGGGGGGGGGGGGGGGGGGGGGGGGGGGGGGGGGGGGGGGGGGGGGGGGGAGGAAGAGAACAAAGCCACCCCTCCCACCCTTCCACGCTAGAACATTCGGCAGAACAACCCAAACATCTTGACCTTCAGCCCCCTCTTACCTATCCCACCTAACCTCACCACACACGAGACAGGCAAAGCCCGAAACAACCCCAAAGTCCAAAGACTCTAACAATAGACCCTCAGGTCCCAAACGCCAAAACGGGGAGAATAACAAATACATACGGAAGAAAGAGAGAGAGAGAGAGAGAGAGAGAGAGAGATCCTAGCGCGGAGGCTACGTATGAACTAAGGAGTAAACTCCGACCCTAGCTTCGGGAGATGAAGAGGGGACCGAGCAACAAACAGATCAAGGCGTGCGAGGCTCTCACTTGCATCATAACCGATCCGACAAACCCCAATCACTCACAACTCATCATTCCATCGGGCCTTGCTCAGGGAAGAACGGAAGGGGGGCGATAGGACCGAGTTCGATACCACCGTCATCTGCCACCTGCCAAATCTCACCGTCCATCTACAGTCTAGACAAGGGTTGAAGCCTAAAGGGAGAACAAAACAAAAACCACAATGTCACAAAAGACCTCGCTTCGGTTCGAAGAAAAAGAACACCAGTCAAAGCTGACGTTGAATCGTGAAACTCAAGTAGCCCATACGGGTCTCGCGGTCACGGGAGCTTCCCTGCACAGTAGACTATAGGGAACGGATAGAGCCTCAATACGAAGTCTAAAAAGACACATTCGTGGGGGACGGGCCCCCGAGTTTCGAAACACCCCATAATCCACAGTTCGGGACGAACCAGAACAACCACAAAACCTCGGACCTCAAAAGTTTCGCACAGACGATCCAGCCATCAGCCGGTGCGATCTCAACGGCTTGAGGTGTTCATCGGGAATGGCTCAGACAGACGCGCTCGCGCACAACATGTAGACAAGCACGCGCTCGCGCGCGCGCATACCATCACAGCCGCGCCTTGAGCACGTGTCTCACGAGTCCAAGCAATGACGAGCGTGTTTTTTTGTTTGTGTGTATTTTCATTCAATTGTTATGAGCTAGCCCACAATGATCCGACCATGGACCATTGGTGTTTGGTTGGCAATTTTTGGTCTTTGCATCGCCAGTACTGTACAGAAAGAGGCAATGGATTCACCCATGCCGGTATTGCACCAATCCAGCTTCCAAGCTTGCAGTGCTATCTCCCCCATTGGCCAATGTTACAAGGCATTCCCAAGCAACTGCTTTTCATCCACTGTACTAGCTTCTCCGCTCTTTGCATGCGTTCTTTCGCAGCTACTCCTACAATATACACAAGGAGGTGGAGTCCTCCCTAAAGCTCAACCATCGGAAGAAAAAAGAGGTCCGTGGGGCTTCTGTTTTGAAAAAATGTAAAGGGAATGGGGTGTCGAGAGGTCTGTGAGTGCCATCCGATGACAAGGATGTCGGGTATCCGGCGTTTGGATAGAAAGGTGTGTGGTATCAGGTGAAGATGGTCAATGGACCGAGTTGAGCACAAAGGAAAAAGGGTCCGCCGATGGAGGGATGGTCCGAGAAATAATACTCCGAAAATATGTGGAGATTCCGACAGAAGAGCAGACAGACCGAGACGTCATACTGAAATGCTCCCGCGTTTGAAATCTGTGGAGACAGACAAGCGGTGGTGGTGGTGTTGTTGTTGTCGTTTGTTTGTTGGTATATGTGTGTTTGGTTGAGGACCATCCTCCTCGGCGGGATGCAGAAGTCTTTGACAAAGGAAAAAGAAACAAAAAAAACCAAGGACAATGCTGTAAAATGCCGACAGGGAGCCACCCCAAGATGCCAGATCCAAAGTGGACTCCGTACAACCATATCAAGGCGATGCGGGGACAAATATGCCAAATGCGTCTAATGCCGGGTTGCTGGTTTTGTTGTATGTTCAAGTTGCAGAACGAGGCTCATAACGAAGTTCTATTAGCGTAACAATTGAGGTCATCGCGGCCGTGAGCGTTGCGTTAGCTGCTGTGTAGTCCGGATTGGTAAGGGTGGAAATATAGGCAGTCGAATCGAATAGGGGTTCGTTGAACATGTGCAGGAAGAGACGCGAAAAACATCGACAATCAGGCTGCTGTGGTTCGCCCTATTAGGGATGTCGAGCAGACAGTCGACAAAACAATGGACAGCTTCGAAGTCTGCGGAGACCTCGAATTCCCCCCCTTGCCAAGCAAGGAGATCTCACCCCTCCACTATGTGCAGCAGACAGTGGGTGTGAGAGGGGCGCAAAAAGATGTATGTGCTAGTAAGACGCCATGCGTCGTGCATGGCATCGCTCGCCGAGGATTGGAGAGTTGCCAATCATGGCGATGGGATCTTGCCGGAAGCTGATGCTGGGTCTGAGGCCACTGGGGCGCGCTGGAGCTGTGGGTGATTGGTCGACGCAAGAGTCGCGCGAGCCAAAGGCGAACGTTTGCGCTCTGCCGAAGCCCTTGCGAGGGTTCTTGAGGCGGCCAAGTTCGCGTTCGCAGGTGCGCTGGTGAGCCTCATCCGACATTTCCACGTAGTTTTGGGGATAGCAACGGCAAGGGTGCTCGGCGTAGAAGCCGCTGTATCCTCCTTCAAGAATATACACGTCAGGGTATGTGAGTCGCGGGTAGTGCTCGGCGTTGACAGTCCTGTCCTCGGAGCGGATATGGCGAGCCATCATGGGGGCGCGGTGCGCCGAGTATTCGCAGTGGAAGATGAGGATTGTTCTTCCTTGCATGGGGTGTTGGATCAGCTGGGAGGCGAGGAGGTCCTTGCTGTTGTAGTTGACAGCTCCGTCAATGTGTCCTCCGTCGTACTCGTACTCGAAACGGCAGTCAATGATCATCTTCTGGTCGAACTTGTCACTGTACTTTCCGTCCAAGAGATCAATCATGGTGGCCTTTGTTATCCGCGGAATGGTATCCGTGGGGTCATCGGCGAGGAAGTGAGGCAGGATGGGCTCCTGGACATCATCGGCATCCATGCTGGTAACAGACTCTGGGGTGGTGGGCGAGGAGTCGCCGCCTTCTGACTTTGCCTTGGCAACATCGCCAGGGTGCTCAAACATGCTCAAAGAGCGACGGAACTGCTTGCGGGGACGCATAAAGGGATTTGAAGGGCGACGGCTGTGACCGTTGCCAAAAGGGCTGTTGCGGTTACCAGAGAGGCTGGAGAATTGAGGACGAGGACGAACGGCACCAGGCACGGCAGGAGTAGGGCTATTCGCAGTCTGAGGTCGTCGTTCTTGAGGAGGTGATGTAGCATCGAAGCATTCTCCCAGGGACATTGCGCTGTTCATATGCGTCAAGCGATTCTCACCAAATCGGAAAGTGGGGAGCTGGGTGTCTGTGTTGGAACGGCCGGGAACGCCACTAGTCGAGTAGCCTTTCATCCGAGTCAAGGAGGGCCGGCGCAAAGCTGGCTTTCTCCGTCTGCCCCCTGAGTTAGACGCGACCCCTTGAGCTAGGAGGAATGTGGCAATCAAACTTACTCGGCTGCCAGTGGCTTGGGTGGCTCCAACGACGCCTGCCGAGGAATGGGGGCTGGCGAATCCAACATCATCTCGTCGTCCTCGCCGGTTGGGGTTGATCCCGGGGTCGGTGACGTTATCGCGATCTGGGTCATGAACGGGAGCTTGTGCGGCAACGGCGAGACATCCATCAAATCGTGGGCAGGTGACGATTCGGGCAGAGGAGGCGTAGTCACGTATTCTGGTCTCACATCAGCTTCCTAGTCCCATTTCCTCTCTTTTGTGCTTGCAACCCATAGAAGAACGTACCGTAGGAATCCGCGTCACCCATCATGTTTGACGTGAACAAGGCACGACGAGGTGTGGGGAACTTGGGACTAGACAGAACGTTGTTAGTTGACGGTTTTCCAGACTGAATGTATTGGATGCACGTCATCGTACCTCGCCTCGGTATCCAGACGGAAGTTTTGTGAGAGGTCGGCGGCCAAACTAGCAGCGGGCGAGGAACCGTGAATGTCCTTGACATTGAAGTAGTTGTCGGGCCTGTGAAGGTGTTCGCGCAGACTGATGGGTACGGCACCAGCGAAGGTGTTGGGGCGAGGGCGGAAAAGATCCTTATTTCCCCAAGAAGGAACTGCCATGGGACGGTGCATAGCCGCCAATGGTGATGAAGCCTCCATGATTGTGGTGTGTGGTTGTCGGGACCCGATCGTGGGAAGCGAAAGTATTTATTGCGGGTGGTGATGGGTGTTAGTGGTGTCTCTTTTTGTTTCTTTGGTGTGAGTGCTGCGTCCAAGACGATACTCGATATGTCGTGACGAAAAAAAGAGGGACGGTCGTTAAGAAGAGGCCGCAATAAGCGAATGTTGCAGCAAATCCCAAGATGAATATCTGTTTTAGTCGTTTCCACTCAATGGAGAGGGAACAAGACGTCGCGACGAGTATGAATCAGAGGGCGGTGGTGATGCAAGCTGTAGAGAGAGGCTTCTTCGATCTCGAATCGAGCGTCGATGTTGGCTTGATGGGATTTCGTGGCGGCGGGGGTTTTTCGAGAGGGCGCGTGCAGCAATGCAGCTGAGATGGAGAAAAAAGACTGGCCGTTCGTTATTGCGTCGGTGCAAGCAACATTTGAATACCCGAGGAATGAAATAAAATGCGTCCTATTTCTCCTTGATTCATGAAACGTATTTTTCTTCCTCCCAGAGAATATCGGTCGAGGTCGAAGTCGATATCGAAGTCGAGATCGAGGTCGTTGGCGGCGTCTCTAACTGGGGGGGAGAGAGAGGCGAGAGAGGCCGGCGGTCCACGATGGGGGCCTTGGGTGGTTGCAAGGGGAACAAAGGTGGGCGGATAATCGTAGGTGGGAGGGAGGCGCCTTTTGCATGCAACTTCCTTCTCGAACAAAAGAGCAGAGAAAGAGCGCACCGAAGAGACTGACCGAATCCTTAGTGCCGGAGCAGGAGCAAAGGCAAATGCGGATGCGGTGCGGGAGCTGCAGTGCGGCGTCGGTGTTGAAGGTGCGTTTCGGAGGCTACGACCCTTTTTTAGTTCTTTGCTCGAGCTACGCTTTTTCGGTGGCCGAGCAGGAAGGGATGCTGCAGTGATGCAAGGACGCAGATTGCAGTGAGTGAGTGAGTGAGAGAGAGAGAGACTGGCTTTGCTGGTTGGTACTGAGTAGCGACACAGAGAGAGAGAGAAAAGATCCGAGTGTACAGCAGTAGCACCGGACAAGCAATGACAAGAGAAACGAGTGCAATGCCTTTGGGTTATCTAGTGCTGGCGCAGGGACGGGGAAGAAAAAACGTCAAGTAGTTTCTTCCAAGCGTCTAGCCTTCTTCTTCTTGGATTCCTCTTTTGCTTGTGCTTCTCTTGTTTCCTCTTTCGGCTTCGTTCTCGTCCGTCTGCTTCTTCTTCTTCTTCTTGTTCTTCCTGATTACCCACAATGCCCAACGGGGGAAAAGCAGTAACAGACGCAGAAAAGAGCAATCAAACGAGAAAGACGGAAAATTAGAAATAAGAGTCGTGAGTTGAGTTTTTTGCTGGTTGAGTGTGTGGACTGGCCAACAGAAAGGGCGGCGTCGAGTTACGATATTGGTCGTCGACGACAGTTATGCGATACGATGGGAGGACGATTATAGTGTGGTAGTCCGTGGGCGTGAGATGTTGGTGGTGTGTAGTAGGATTTTGGGTGCACGTTGAGTACGATAAGTTGTAGAGAATGGCTGGACCTGGAGACCTGGGCACCTAGGGATGATTCCTGAACTGAACCTCTCTGATGGACCTAAGAATAAAGGTATCCGTAACTCTCTAAACCTACCGTACCGTCGGACCGTTGGTGGTTATGGTCGGGGATGAAGGGGGGAAAGAAGAGAGAGAGGGAGGGAAGAGGTCGGAAGAAAGAGGAGACTAGAGGTTTTTGAATGAAGGTGTGGTGTGTGTGTGTGTGGTTGACTGGTCGTGGTGAGCAAAGTATGGATATGGATATGGATATGGATATGGATTTGGGATGGGATGGGAACTGGGTGTGTGTCTTGTCTCTCTCTCTCTCTGCCACTCTCTGGAACCATGGACCATGGATCAAGGTGTGTAGTGTATGGATGGTGTGCGTGAGAGGTGTGGTGTGCAGCAACCATGAGGTGTGTGTGACGGGATTGGGACAGGATGGGATGGGATACCTGGGATGGGGATGGGGATGGGGGATGGGACAAGAAGCAGCAACCAAGCAACCAGAAGCAGGAACCAGGCCTCTCTGGGAGTCAGGATAGGATGGGATGGGATGGGATGGAACCAAGGCAGACGCCGCACACAGCAACGGTGCTATGTACCACCACTACCACCAGTCTACCACTGCTACTTTGCGTAGCCGACTAGGTAGGAAGAGTGTACGGAGTATCAGCGACCAGACAGACAGCCGCCAGACAACGACGACGACGACAACGGGAGCGAGCGAAGAGAGAGGGTGTGTGGATGGAAACCTGAACCAGGTCCAGGAAGGCAACTCGACGGGGTGGATTGAGACTTGACCGGGATGGGGGATGTCACTGTCAGTTGTTGCTAGCCCAGGATGGTCAAGATGGATGGGAACTTGGGAAGACTGGAGCTGGACGAGCTGGAACAGGAACCACCAGCAACGAGACAGGAACGGGTACAAGATGACATGCCGGGACTAAGCATTCAGACCAGCAACGACAATGTACAATATCAACTTACTGTGTAGGTACTCCGTACACCAAGAGAGAGTGACACAGAGAGAGGGCGAGACATCATACATACGCACAGCATAGCAGTCACGCACAGCACACTGCAGCCGCCGACGATATCCCTCCACTCTTTCTGCTCCTCCTACGCAACCTCAATCTCAGTACAATGTACTTTTATACAGACAACAATTCTATACTATGAATTGTCTCCATGGCTCGCCTCGTCTCGCTTCTTGCCTTGCCTTCCTTTCCCTGCTCCAGGTACGGAGCATCTGGCCTTACGACATTGGATGCCATGTCTGATGCTGGACTTTCTCTCTGAGCAACCAGTGCCAGAACCAGGTACAAACCCCCAGCCAAGGGCCATCAGCTCCAGAACCTCACACTCGAACAGGGAAGCGCCAAACGGGGGGGACCAGCCCAGACTACGGATACCTTACGTAGTACGGCGTAGTGAAGCCAAGGTGCGGATAAGGTAGAGAGAAACGACCAAGGGGGCGGTACATGGCTGTCTGTACGTACCTGGCTGTGAGGTGTGCTGCAACGAGTACGTATCTGACAGCCAGTACGTACCCTTCTTCGTGATGGGACATTCCCCCCTTCGTCGTGGAGCCTCCTTGGTGATCTTCCTCTCTCTCTCACTGCGCGTAACTTCTGGTGCGATGCCCACCCAACCGCGACTTGAAAGTCAACTTTGAACTTGGTTGTCAGGGGAGATTTGGTTGCTGCTGCAGCTACTGCAGGACTTGCAGCTGCATCAGAGCTTCTGGGTGGACGGCGACGACAGGGAGTGTGTATGCACCAGATGGAGATGGAGATGCAGATGCAGACAAAAGATGCAGATGGATGGGGCCCGGGTGTCTCTCTCTGCCTTGCCTCCAGGCTCTGTGGCTCTCTTGCTTGCTTCCCACCGTTTACCAGTTGCAGCAATCTGGGCTTGAACCTTTTCCCTCTCAGTCTCCGAGGTGGTGTCTGGTGTCTGTGTGGTGTATGTCTCTCGCTCTATCTCGACTTGTCTCTGAACTGTCACTGAGTAAATGATACTGCAGCCAACTTGCATCGATGCTGCTGCACAACGTACACTAACTCGCCTTCACTCACTGCCATTGGACGTAAGCAACATGGCATGACCCTGTAGGTCTTTCGTCTGCGGTCCTTCTCTGGGACTTTGCTGGCCATTTACACAGGGCCATTCCTGGTAATACATCCGCACCTTATTCTAGCGTGCCTTTTTTTCCAGTCTTTTCCTCGTACCCTTTCCCCCCCACTTTACACGTTGCCAAGGCACAATGTGTGCGTGTGTGTGTGTGTGTGTGTGTGTGGTCATTGAGCTGAGAATATCTTGCTTTCTCTCCCGTTGCCCTGCGTTCCCTGGTTCTCTTCTTCGGCTGAAGCATCAATCGATTGTCAGTCTTCCAGAATAAAAACAAATGGTCGGACGGCAGAAGCTTCCAAGGCAGAGGCAGAGGCAAGAGAACGACCCGAGCCAAAGAGCACGTGGCTCGAGGTACGTACCTGGGAAGCAGGGCAGGGCAGGGAAAAGGAAGACTTTCTCACCTAAGATTCCTTCCAGCTCGTCGGTGCCTTACCTTGCGTCAAGGTAGAAAAGCCGCGAGCGGGCATAACTAAGGTAATGCGCAACAGCAAAAAGGTTATCTGTGCTGTGCAGCAAACCAGCAGAATCGTGCCAATCGCACCAAATTCCGTCTTGTCTTAGCCAATGCGCTTCGAGCTTTGCCCGTGTGGTGCCCTTGGATCCGATGCACAGCACAAGCAGCTGGAGCCAGCACAAGCATTTTCATCCAGCAGCAAGTCATGGCCCCCCAAAAGCAGGTACGAGTAATTCCTCATCTCGCCGCCATGCTGAGATTGGAGAAGACTGGTCACCGATGCTCCGTACCTTACCACATCTGCGAAGAATACACACAGGTATCCGTCCCGTCCACATGTCTCTTGCAGTCACACACCCCCAAATCCACCCAGCATTACCGACATGAACCACGCCCGCGCCCACATTCGCCCTGTCTTCCCGCGAGGTACTTGACGCCGTACGTGACGCCGTATGAATACCAACGCTGTAATTGGGTCTCGCACCCTCCCAGCTAGGGACCCTTCAGGGGCGGAAGAACTGAATTCGACTCCACGAACATCCTCCGACGACTCAGGCGCCCAACAACGCCGTTGCGGCGTACAGGGGGCCCCTACTTTGGCACCAATCCCCTGGGGAACTTTCCCCCCTTACAGGCGGTTGCCGCAACAATTGACGGATTTACAGCGGCTTCGCCTGAATGTTCCATCACCCCACTGATGGCCGCTGGCGGCTTGCCCTGGAGCGTCGAGTTCATGCTCTATCGGTTGAGGCGTCAGGGGCATGAGGGGCTCTCTCCATCTTCCCATCCGCCCTAAACGTGAGCAACCCTTCACTGGGGACTGGCGTGCTTGCTGGCGTGCTGGGCTTCCCGTCTGGTCGCTAGGAAGTTTTAGGGCCCGACGCAGTGTGCACGTACTCTACTCGGTACGCCGTAGCCCGTTGACTCGGTAGTATCGGTAGCGCCAAAAGGGTTAACATGTTTGATACGGAGAAGCGCGAGGCCTTTCGTGGTCTGGTCTTGGTCTTGTTCTCCAGTTATCGGAGGCGGTCTCCAGAAAGCTCGAGTCTGGAAGTGGTTCTCGTGCTCAGTCGTCACCCACCTGACCGGCCATGTTTCTGTCTGGCGTTAGATTGGAAACTCCCCGAGAAGAGATTTTGATGTTCTGTCCGCAACTTGGTCTGTGGGCAACATAGCATACCGTCCCAGAGTCCCCGAGTCCCTCAACAGAGGCCCGCGGGGTGGTCTGTGGTGTGCGGTGCAGCCGTGGACTGGAGCACCCGGAGCTGGTCGCTGGGCAGCTTTCGGAACGGGATCCAGTAAACTCGCCATCAAACCAGTGTCACGTTGGATGTTGGACCCGTCGACCCGTTGCGGACTTGCGGTTGCTGCAGCATCTTGAGGCTAAAGGTATTCGTAACCCGGACCGTAGTGATGGTCTTACATGATACGGATACCAAGCGTCGAGAAAACCCTTTCTGATCCCCGCTGTTTCCCATGGTAGTGAGGCGGAAGAGAAGGAAAAGAACGGGTTGCCCAGTGGAAGGGTCTCGTAGCCCGGTGATCCGTCTGCAGGGAGAGAGAAAATTGAAGAGAAGAAAAAACCGTGCAGCGGACCCGGCGCCGACCCAGATGCTACAGCCTGCGGGGCCTGTGAGGAAAGTGCGGAGTGACGGGAGGTGAGGTACCTTCCATGCGTATCCGTAGGTCCCTTCCTTCTCCCACGCCTCAGCCATGGAAGGAAGTCTCCAGACCTCTCCACCTTCTGTAAGTGATATTGGCAGGCACTGAGTACCTTGCCTAGTGTACTTACCTAAGGTACTCTACACAGTAACTACCCAAGGTATTCCTTGAGTCCTTCCTGCCTCACAATGGTCAAACCTGAGGTGTAAGGCTCAACTCTAATTTGGAAGGCACCAAGTGTCCAATGGAAGGAAGTCTTTTCCTTCCACTTCCATTCAATTATTAGCCAGGAACAACCAACCTAAGGCAAGGGAGGTTTCGACCCCGTTGAATGAATTAAACGTTTTTGTTCCTTTGTGCTCTTTGTGCTTTGTGCTGTTCCTCTTAGTGCTGTGCAAGCTCAAACATTCATACAATTCAGCCCAGCTTTCCAACAAAGCATCTCTATGCCGCACCTCTGCTTCGACTTATTGCCCGCAAGCGTTCCGTCTACTACTTGGTCCACTTGTTGGACAATTGCGATTAATTTGGCTCTCCCTTCCTTCGGGCAGAAAGCACCACTTGCGAAGAAGCGCCGGGCCCAGCGAAAAGCGGTATCAACTTTCGACTATCTTCTTGGCTTAGTGCAACAAGCCAGACGCAATCCCAATGCCAGTCCGACTCGAGTACCCTGACGACAACAGCACATCGAATATGGCACAGCTCCAACGGAAATCACTGAGGATTCTCTAGATACGAGTCAACCACCGGTCCATTGAACTGTAATCCGAGATCCAAACGACGCGCACAGGGAAACACTACGTGCAGAGGACCACCTACACGCGCCTCCCGTGATCCATCCATATGGCAACGACATGCGCCTATTGCAAGCCATCATCCGCTCGTCCCTTTTTGCCCCCAACGGCCGCAGTCATCCTTTTACCCCTCCCCCCTTCCATCAACTAAAGACTGATTTCACCGTCGCCCCGGCTGTGAACTATGGTATCTAGTTGACGATGGCCCCCGTGTGGCTGAAGGCTGGCGCTAGGCTATCCGAGAAGCCAACTTCTAAGCGCCCTTCACACGAACCTCGAACCGAATCGACAGAGTCAGCTTCTACTGTCCACGAGGTTGCTTGAGGTGCCAGCCGACCTGCCAGCTGGACACTGTCACCTCCAAAATGCCTCTCTGCCTAGCACTAGCAAACCTCACTTGGCAGAAGTGGGCCTAGGCCGTCGACTTACATCATCGCCCGGCGCGGGAAACCATCAGATCAAGTTCGGCACCGCTGACAACGCCGCACTTCAGCACCAACACCACCGCCAGTGACCATCGCGAGCCTGGAAATGAGCGGTGAGTTGGCGTATCGCCCTACTCAGCTGTCCCCTGTCCAGGGTGTGTCTTACTACAGAGCACCTCCTAATACTTCGGCAGTGCACTGGACGTGCGAGCATGTACTCTTTCACATAGGTACGGCTACAAACACAGCATTCAGAGACAAGACAGTAGCGGCTTGTCTCTCCCGTCTGTCGCCTGTCTGCCAACTCACTGACTTTTATCCCCTGCTCTGAGCAACCGGCTGCTTAGCCTACCAGCATTCAGGGTCTGGAGCCAGCAATTACCTCAGGCGCCGCCTTGCCTATTGTGTCATCCGCTTCCTGCACCTTAATCGTGATGCTTCCATCCTCATTCGCCAGAAGACCCCGGACCACGACCTCCATCCTCATGTTGGACACAGGGTTGGCAAGGCTACCTCACAGCAGCGGCAGAAACGGAAACGCCTGGCGGCTTTGGACAGGGCTCCCACGCCCATGATCTCCCGAATCTTGCCCGTCTCGTCATCCCTTCAGCTTGGGTTCACTGTTCAGGCCACACGGCACACCAAGCTTGCTACTCGGACCTGGTGCTCCCAAGCAACCACGCCCCCGGAGGCATACACAGTATGCCCGAATCCAGACCTATTGATGTTGCCGCTGCAGGCAGGGCACATCCGCTGCGGCCGACACAGGCGATGACATTTCCGGGGCGTCAGCAAACATCTGAAGTGAGACTTCAGGACCCTAAATGACTCCTTGCTGCATTCTTCGGTTGCCGGGTCGTAGCCTGCGAGAAGGGTCTTGCTTGAGACAAGGTTGGAATAAAATGGCGTGGTGACTATGGGCCATGTCAGACTTTTCCCCCCTTTCTCTGGTACGGAGTACGAAAAAACTCGTGAGTGGCTTGTTGGCCGCTAATTATTCACAGGCTTATCCCGTCGACAAACAAGCCATCAATGGGGATGATACTGTGCAATTGTTCGCTAATTCGGGACGTAGATCCTTGGCTGTGATACCCTTTTCGGACCCAGTCTACATTCCTCTTCCTACAGATACACAAGACAACAGCATTCCTTGGTGACCTCGAGATGGCCTCCCAATGGCCCGCATCAGTGACATGCACAGAAGGTCAAAACGTCAGGGCTGCAGGAATCACAAGCCCAGCAATGACGTAGATTTGGGTGTCGAGCATCTGTGGTGACCTTGCTCGTATCCTCCATCTCGAAATCCTGATGCACTCCAAGCGAATCTAGACGGCCCAGCTGTCCGGCCAGCGAACGGGGCCCGAGCCTGAGGAAAACCGGCCCTGCCGAGTTATTCGGTCTCTACCGCACCGTACGACAAGAGCCGAGAAATGGCAGATCTGGCACATAGGCTAGTGTACGGAGTCGCGTCGTGAGACTTTACACTAAACCCATCAACATAGCTGAGCATGTCTGCAAAGATTTTTTTCAGCACTTGCTCCAAAGACCCTGCCTCCACAAAGCGGATCTCAGCAATGATCCGGCAACGACCAAAAGGAGGTTCCGAAGACAGGAAGAAAATTCGAAGGAAAAAAAAGAAGTGCTCCGTACATTAATGACCCGGTAAAACCCCCATCGTCATCTTCTCCCCACAGCAACCAACGGGGCCGGCCCTGGGCTGAAGACGTGGGATCGGCTGGGATCAGCTGGGCTTTGACTAGGGTCCGACAAGGGGGCATCGGCAGCTCGCAGGGCTTCACCTCCATCTCCGCCATCGCGACTGGCCAGAGCTCTCGGCCGCTCTGCCTCAAGTTCTCAACTCTCTCAGCCAAGCCTAGGGCAGTCCCTCGCTTTCCCCCGCCCATCGGCCCAGTACGTGACCCCGGTCCTGGCCCCGGTTTCTGTCTCGTGCGATTTGTATATATGCGCGCTGGGCTAGACTCCGCTCTCGTTACCTACCTGGGAACCTCAGGATTGCTTATCACTGCCACATCGTCCCGTGCAACCCAAACTTCAAACCGACCGCGGTCCTCGAATAAACAGTTTGGACCTGCCAGAGCCTCTTGTTCACACCGATTTGGCGTTGCAATTGGCTCGCTATCGGTCACTAAGAGAAACACAGGGTCTAGCGGGCGCTGAGACACTGTTCTTGCGGCGCTGGCACAGCTGGCTTACAGAGCATCCTGTTTCGGAAGGCAAGTGGATACACTGTAAGCACAGATGGAGCTTGGTGCGTGGTAATAGCTCGGGAGCTTGGGAAGAAAAGAGACACACAGAAAGAAAGCTTTGTTGGAGCTCTGCTGAAGCTTCAAGCTCGGCCTGGAGCTGGGTCTGGGGCTGGGGCTGGGGCTGAAGCTCGGAATATTAGCAGACACCAAACCCGGACCAGGCGATGCACCGAGATGACGACTGACAACGACCGTTCTGACAGAGCAACAGAGTTCGAGTCTTGCCCCGGTTGTCCATGTCGACTCCCTGATAGTGATCCATCCAGCTGGTCTAGGCCTGGGTCTTGGCTTACCTGGCTTGACTGGCTGGCGAACAGACGGGCGAATGGCAGCTTGCCCTGTGATCAATGGCGACGCCAACATCAGCGGCGCTGGTCAAGCATTTGAATGATGCGGATTTGACGGCGCGACACTTGAGTTCAGGGCACGGGTGTTGAAGGCTGCCAGATGCCAGATGCCAGTCAAAGTCTGTCTAAGACCGGCTGGCGGTGAAGCGGCACGCTCAGTCTTTCATCTCCACAATGAGCACCGTGCATCGAGGAACAGCGATAGAGACATTGGTTTTATCGCACGTCGGTACGTGTATCTCGCTCAGTGGTCAGGCCGATCCGAAGCCGGCGGCTGGGGAGATGAAGGTCGCATGGTCGCAGAAGCGGCCGGTGTTTGTCTCCAAGGACACAGTCAGTTTGGATCCTTCTGCGTTTCGTAGACTTGTTCGACGGGGCAACAGAAGCAACAGGGGAATCGGGACGAGCAAAGATTCGGGCGCCAGTCCCATATGCTCCCCCGCCTACAGAGCACACTACCGCGCGGCGGGCTGCAGATGTGCTGCATAGCTGATGCGCGTATGCGAGCTCGATGCAGAAACTGTGCAGTACCCACGGATACGTTTGGATGGATAGTCGATGAAGATGGATACCTCGGATGCAGAGCTGCACTTTACATTGCGGACAGATGGCCGGGCTGCATCAAGCTGCTGCAGCTACTGCATGCAGTCCAGGTTTCCAGAGTATTACAGCCATGTTTCTGATGCTCCGCCGTGTTGGCCGGCCCGCCCTAGCTTCCACAGGGTCGAAGCTCCCCCGGCGACCGCGGCTGTCGACGGTGAGATGCTCCAGCTTCTTGCAGGACGAGTTACGCACTCACGACTCACGAAGTGGGGTTGAAGAAGCTCTCGATACAGGCGAGACAGGCTCTCGTGCCTCTCGTTTTCCTCTGGGACGACATGACAACATCAGCAACGGCAGGATCCTGGTTTGAAGCTCCAGAGCTCCACTTACAAGGCCCGGCCAAAGGCATGTTTGTCATATTTCCGTGTGCACAGAGGTTTGGGCCAAAGAAGAACCCCTCTCGTTGGTGACCACCATGCAGCATCCCCGGCTCCCTCGAGACGCCCGCCGTCTTACTCTGTAGGGGACCTTTTGTTTACTTTGGACTGTTCTTGGAAAGCTCGTCTTCAAAAAATCAGCTCGATCGACAAGCCGGCTTTCGGCCTTGGGCCAACCTTGACCGTGAGCATGACCATGTTGATCACCTGGGCGTCTCGAAATAGGATTGAAGAATTCCATCCCGCCAGGGGTTGCGCAACAATGGATGAGGCTCACGATTTCAAGAATGGACGAAACGTTCATAAAGCTCTTGACTTCGCTTAAAGGGCCGATGCCATCGTCAACCCTGTTGATATTGACCGGCCTACCCTGTCTTGTTCCGCTCCTAATCTACGGTTGCTTGGTTAGAGAAAAAAAAATCGTCCATGGGTCGCGTCCCTATTCACCGAGCCCTGGAACCCCGCGACACTTTACCGGACGGGTACACTACGAGCGAGAGGCTACGCACAGCCCACTCATCCTCCCGATTCCAAGCCACCGGCTGCCATTGGCGCACTAGCGACTGGCGTTGGGATCGTGATTGCGAGTCGACAGCTTCAAGTCCAAGCGGGTGCACAGGCAAGTGCACTTGGCCGTCGGTGAAGGCGGGTGGAGGAATGTGAATGATCACTGACAGTGAGTGTGGCTGACGCAAATTGCCATGTCGAGCTTGTCTGATCTGATGACGGGCCGCCGCCTTGGAACTATTCAGAAGGGCGCCTCAAACCTTGTGACGAAAGTCGGAGCTACGGCGTTATGCCTGGCGCCATGGAGAACATCCTCGGTGCTACAAGATGAGTCTCCTTTCGCGTTGCTCTATCAATCGCACGAGCTTCACGCCAACAAGGGTTCAACACGAACAGGTCAGCGGGACCAACTCCTGAAAGCCTTGAGAGTGTAAGATGAGGATGCTCAAACAGCAAAATGCGGATGAATCATCCGAATACTCGGTATCCAGCATCGCCCGATCCCGGGCCAGGACCAAGAAGCGACCGAAACCCCAACACCACCACGCCCCTCCTCCATCAATGCGGTCGGAGAATTACTGACATAAGCTGGTTGGAGGCACGCCGCACAACTACTGATTGGGTTGCGATAATACATACGCATATAGCCCGATCGCGATTTGACTCATCAGACGCGAGAAGGAAATTCGAGAAGAAATGGGCACAACAAAAACATGGTCTTCAGGCATCTTCCCATGCCTCAAGACATGGTCTCACCCGGCATTTACACATCGAGAAAAACAAGGTCTGGCCATCATCCATGACTTTGAGGCTAACAAGTCAAGCTTGCGTATCCGAACTTCGTACAAATATGGGCGGCGACGTAGAGGGCGATGTGAGAACCCCCCCGTCGGCCATCTCGATGTAAAAAAGCATCGATCACGCACCTCCCGTCCCGATCACCTGCGGCCGGTCTAGTCCGGCTCTAAAACAGACGTCATCCTCTCGGGGTCAAGCCTGGCAGTGATCGTCAAGATTCAAGAACACCCCCCGGCCTGCGGCCCCTCCCCCAAGGCAGAGCGCTCGTCTCGCCGTCGTGTATCGAGATCCTGCTTAGCCGGGCCGTCATTCTCATGCGGTCACATCGTTCTTTTCTGGAGCATTTGCACAATTCGAAGCATCACGACCATGGGTATACTGGATCCAGTGCCAGGGCCGCATCGACAGCGACCCCGTACCCATCAACAACCGGAAACAGTGCCAATCACTAGAGAGATGGCTCACACGTACGACAACATGTCGGTCAAGCTTGACCGAAACGAGAGGGGACTCGACTCGGAGGCGAGAGAGAGCGACAGATGCCACCGAGAAACAGGATTGGATGGCTCGCCTTGTTTGTTTATTCGCGCGCACAAGACTTGGCCTTCGGCGCTACCAGGCCGTGATGCCTTGGATTGATGAGGCCGTCTCGCGCTATTGAAGATTACCTGCATGATAGGGAAGACAGGCATCGGAAACAATCCAATGAGGCGTCCCAATGCACTCGGGAGCTGTCAGAGCCAAACTTTCAGCTTGAATTTGACATTGATAGAAGGTTTGCAAGCCTTGTCGTACGCCCGGTATAGACACATCAGTCAGTGCCGCGTGACAGAATCCGCGATGGCGTTGTCCCCTCCCTCTCCCTCGGGTCTCCGTGCCCCTCCTCTTCCCCTCTCCCGTTCCTCAGCTTTACTTGCGCACACAGAGAGAGCCATCATTGCTTCCCCTCTTTTGCTCCTTGACCCCTCCAAGACCACGATCAAACACCTTTTACGCGGCCCACCATGGATAACGTGGAGAAGCAGAGAGTCGTCGCTCAAATCCTGCTCACATCGTTTTTGGTCTCTGGCTGAACGTTTGAGGATCGTCTCTAGCCTTGGACCCAGTCCAATGGACAAACGGTGCCGTTTAGGCCGTTATGGAGCTCTTTCTTTGTCTCGTCATCGTTGGTACGGCTATGGTGAAGCACGTAAGCGGGTGCAGACGGCGCGGGCGCGTTGCACCGCGGGTGGGAAGCAAGCCACTCTCCATACTCAAGTGAGGGGAATTTTCCTCGCTCTCTCTTCTCGTTGGCGGGCACTTTGTTTACAAACTGCGGTTTCGCGATTCATGTCAACAATGGGCCCCTGCAGACCCTGTTTCTGGATCCTAGCTTCAACGCGAAGTCATGTGTTGGTTCACGTGATGTCGACAAGGATGGTGTCTCCAGCAGTGACGTCTCTAGCCGCCGTCATCCCGGTTTGGCAGCTGGTTGGACGGTCCGGTTGGGCGAACCTGGTTCAAGGTTGACGTTTGGTGGTGTGGTAGTGGGGGAGGGAGGGAAGAAACCGACGAGGGGGGGGAGGTTCTCGAATGGGACGTGCTGATGGGAGGAACCAGGAACGTCCGAGCGGAGCTTCAGCTCAGGTTTGGGGGCTCAGTGGAGTCGGCATCCCTCGGCATGGCTCGTCGTGTACGGACGAACTCCGATTTTCGTTCATTCTTTCTGCGGCTACGAATTGCGGATAACATCACATCATTGAAGCCGGGAATCCATCAAGATGACCCCCGGGTTGTGAGGGTCAATACAAGAGAGGCGCCGCTTCGCAACTGCTGACGATACCATGATGATGACAAGGCTGGCGAAGGATCTTGGAGTCAGCGCAGGGGGTGTTTACTCTATGGATAGAGCTCCTCTTTCATGCTTCCTTCACCCCTCTTTCGAACCTCTCTATCTTACAGTCTCAATCGTCGACCCCGGAACCACTGGATGTTGCTGGGCTGAGACTGACTCTGGACTTGCTTGGAGAGCATGGGATTCTGGGACTGGGTTCCCCGCTTTCGCTATCAAGGGGAGCTCTATTTCGGGGCGCAGCAACCACGGGCAAACAGCTCCCAAGCACCCAAGCTCCCAAGACCTCACCCACTTGGTTGATGAACGATTCCTCAGCTCTCGGCTAATGCGATACGAAGATCCAAAGTTGGGTCGAAACATGTCGCCATGCATGCGGACCGGGGACTGATAGTTTCTCATTAATTGTCCGGCCATAGCAGCTACCGACACAACCGACCTATGCCTTGGAGAAGCAGGGCAACCCGCACCGATGTCTGAAACGAACGATATCACCCGGTGAGCCGGGCCCGTATGCTCTGTTGCCCGTCTGACCGACGGGTCTGACCTGACTCTTCCATTCCCCGGTCCATGTCGCAGCAGGAGGAGGAGCAGCAGCAGCAGCAGCAGCCTGCTAGCAACGGCAACAGCTGGGCCAACACCACAGAATCAAGTCGGGATGAACGAGCTTCCGGAATAGGCTCTCCACCGCCGTTCTTGCGTCTGAGAGTGTGAGCCAACGCAATGCCTTGAACGATGTTCACACGTCCCAAACCAACAAGGCATCCGAAACTCGCCAGTCACAGTGATTCCGCGCGCATTCCTAGGCGAATGCTACCCTAGCCTCGAGCCACCCACGTCGCGCCTCCAGAGGCGAACAATTGTCCGATGGGCTTGTTCACGGTTCCCGCGACGGATACAGGAACATCAGGGTCTTTTTTGCGTGCTCGCTTGTCTCTCTCGCCGCCTCTGGAGCCTTTGGGCCCTTGGCTGTCTTCTTCTTCCCCTCCCCCACATCCCCGAGACCTCAAACATCCTCTTCTTCCCCCTCCCAGGCTCCCACTGCCCAGGTTTGTCAGGCTACACAAGCAGCGAAACAGATCGGGCGAGACCGCCACGCCCGCGCCGATATGAACCGACCGGCCGGCCGAGCCGCCGTTCAGAGTCCGCGTTGGTGCAAGGTTGTTTCTGATGGCGGCGGCGACCTAATGTCCGCAACATTCCTCCCCGGTGGCCGTTTTGCCATTGCGGTTGATGCGGTATGTAGGTGGGCAGACCCCTACTTCTCAGGGACGCCGAGCATGGTACAAGACCCTTTTTTCATATTTTCTTTGTTCGTCTCGACTTGTTGAGTAGTTGCGTCGAACGTCTGACAGTCGGATCTGGAGTGGCTTGCGGTCCCGCAGGGACGGACTCTTTTTCGTCATGACGGCGCCGCTCGACTAACATGCGTTTGTGGCGTGTTCGTTTGGCTTCAAGTCGGGAGGCCTTTTTTTTCTCCCGACTAGTCCCCTTGGTAAGGCATATGAGTAGGTAAGTAGGTAATGCTGTTGTGGACGGGAAGTGTAGTCGATATAAAACGGGCATGGCGCCCTCCGAGCTAAAACATCCTAACATTCCCCCCCACGAGGGTCAGACAAAGAACAAAAAGGGTGGCGGCGTGACGGGGCGGCTCTTGGAATGGCGGCAGGCTGGACGATGGATGGACGACGACCTGATGGGTTTAGCCAAACGTTGCTTCCCCCTGAACTAAGCGGGAGCGAGTGGAAGATGGCACGATGGCAACGGGAGGGCGAGAGTCTCTTTCGGCGTGGTTTTGAGGCGGCTTGTTGGTAGCACCATCTTGGACCAGCATCAGTAAGTATCTAGCAAGCGGTCTAAGGAATAGCATCTTCAGCGTGGGCGGCTGGCGCACTCTGAGGAGGGTCTGAGAAGACGGAGACAGAGCCCGGCGGCCGACTTCAGCCTGGTGTACGTAGACTATGTTGGTGAGGTGTGTTCGTAGAGGGGTGAAGCTTTGGTTTTGGCGCCGTGATGTCTGTATACTTGTCCTGGATAGGGGATCAATTGTTCTAGAAGATCGTGCCTAGTTCCCGTTACTGGAGGCTGATCAGCAGTTTCAAACTAGACTACGATTGGGTGGTTGTTGTTTCTCGGTATTGTCCCCGTTGCCCTTTGCCCCTGAAGCCGTTGATTCTGTTGCCATCCCGGCCCCTGAATTTGTGTGGTTAAGTGCGGTGCTATATCGTGAGACTACAGGTCAGAGGTTTAGGGGAAACGGTAGTGCTTAGGTAGGGAAGGTGACTTTGGATCAGCGTTGGGGGTTCTTTGCCTGGCTTGCATGATTTGGGATCGCGGTTGGTTGGTGGGAGATCTGAATTACTTCAACTGCGGCTGGATCTTGTAGCAAACGTGGGCCTGGCTGAACCTCTACAGCCTTGGTACCGGTGTCGATAGCTATATTACTATCTACTACCGTTAAATCCAGCTGTCGTAGACTGAGCAGGTTTAAGGTATCTGTCCGGACTGGTTTTGGAGGAGGAGCGAGACGACTCCGGTATTGTGAATGCCTGTAATATCATCGGCGTCCCGTGAGGCTCTGTGTTACGAATGGGCCTAAGTTCCCTCTATAAAATGTCAGATCTGTCTCACGTGTGGAAGTGTAGCCAGTGTTTGCTCTATGTGGTATCCAAGGCCTGTATAATATATAGAGAGTGCATTGTAAGAGAGTACTGCCCTGCAAGTGCTGTTTATTCCGTGTGGAATATATTACAAGAGCTGATGAACGCTGTTAAAAGAGATCTAGAAATGTTCGGTTTGAATATCTTTTGAGTTCTCATGAAAACCGAAATACCACAAGAATCTTAGAAAGGATTTGATACACCCGAACTCCGGTCACCAGCCGACGGCACGAGAGGTTGGAGGAAATGACGATTTGGCGACAGGACCTCCAGCTCATCAGCCTGTTGTTGAATACTGTAGAACACAAGCATCATCGCTGGCACTCCGGTTACCATTGGCGCTCATCCCCAGGAGCAAAATGGCCGTGAGTGTGGCAAGTTCTCGGTGCCTGTCCCGGCAAGGAGAAGTGAAAGGTGTGTCTGGGTCTCTACTCCTTCCGATCCTGTCACCTAGTGAGTTGTGGGAAACGCGGTTGAGGGGTACAGGAGAAGTCCGTCAAGAGGAGTCCAGTGTTCCTTGGGAGACGTTATGGGTATCGCGTGACCTTTCGGCTGGTGTCCTATAGGGACGAGTTTCTTTGCCCACTCCTTTTCGTGAATTCACGTTCAGTGTCCCTATGGTTCCAGGTGCGCTTGTTCTGAGGCATACGGAGGGAAAGCTCTCCATTGTATATCAAGCATCTTACCGAAAGCATGTATGGAAGAATCGGGATATAGTTTGGAGAGACCGAGGCTAGATAAGGCATACATTGGTCCGAGGAGGGTGTTTGGAGAGTGAGGAAATTCATGCAGACTTGGAATGATGTAGTCGAGGCGCATGAACATCTCGGACCGCTGTAGAAGCCGGCAACATGGCTGCGAAAGATTCTTGTCCCCAGGACCCTCAGCATGAAACCTATTCTAGAGACGGCGAATTGAGGGAACATGCCGTGAATGTGTCGTGACAGACCATACTAAGTAGTGTTTGACTGTAATTTGCTAACTACACAGGACATGAGAAAGCAAACCCAGAGTCCCTTTTCAATGAGCATGAAAGTTGAGGACGAAGAAGAGGAGAAAGGCGTAGCCGGCGACGAATTTCTGGGTCTATTCGACAGTATGCCGATAGTAGAAGAAACCGGGGTCAAACAGACGAATCACGCTGTTCAAACACCCAGGAAGGTGTTTTATGCGCGACCGGCTGTCCAGTCAGACCTCAGGATAGCTGAGCTGTAACATGCTTCTTCTGACTTCGTCACACGACGGTATGAGAAGTACAAGTCTGCCAGGCTTTATAGATACATATTTACGATGTTCTTGAAAAAAAATGTGAGGAATTTCTGAGGATGACTCCTCAATCGCGAGTCTGGCCTTTGAAATGCTGCTAACATGTATATCGTTGATGTCCGGGAGCATTACGACCACCTTTTATTCTCCCTTGACGTAATCAGTCATCAAGCCTCGGGCCCTCTTTGAAGTGCCTTGAATGTGAGACAGTTTAAATTGGGAACAAAATTCTAGTTTTCACTTGCGATGATGTGTGGATATCTCATGTTCCGTCTTCTCGGGATGGTCCCGCCGGCCTCAATGCAGCCACCCTCGCGAAGATAGCCTCTACTACGGGAAACCCGGGGCCGCTGGCCTCGTTACCGGTCATCTTTCTCAAGTCGTCAAATTGGTGTTTCATTGGAATGCCGAGATGAAAATTTTGCAGTTCGATTGTCTATGAAGGCTTCGAGCAATTCTCTTCGGTGATTCAGGTCCCAACCTATAATACCTGAATGGAATATACGCTCACCTAACACCCGCCCTCCTACAGTCATTGTGAGCCATTCTAAGCCCAGAAGTCCTATAGCGAATTGTCGTTTCAGTGCTCTTGTTTTCATCATTGATTCTTTCTTCCAAGAATATGGTGCATATACTTATTCTGTATCTCGATCGATGGATAAATATGCCTTCTAGACGTGCTCTCCGTTTATTACCTCTGCCGTGAATCTCGATGCGACGTCGATGACTCGATCAGGTTGCACTAGCGGAATACAAAGGTATGGATTATATATCAGTTGATATATAATATTTCTCTTTCAATCATCTGAAAGTCACTTCACTCCTCTGTCCTCCTTCAGGACCAGGTTCAGCCTGAGACCTGGTGACGACCATTGTATGACACAACCAATCTTGGAACAGAAACTGAACAACACACACGAACAGACCGTGAAACAAGTTGAAATTCTCATTAGAAGTGTAGTGGTAAGTCGAGTTTCAGATGTTTGTGAATGAATAGCCGGCCAAACAAACACTCTGGAGCGGTTGATGAAGCTGTCGATGAGCGAGCTTCACGTCCGAAACCCCGCGAAGTACAAGATGTGCACACTACGGTTCAACATAATGCCAGACAAAGCGATGGAAACTAAGAGAGTAGCAGAAGGAGGGTGTATTATGAGAAGAGAGAAATTCTCTCTCAAAGCCACCTCAACATTAAGGTAATGTCACCGCCTCACTGTGACATCCAATTTCTGGCACAGGATTGAGTTGTGGACCCCTCGCGGGTAACAGTGGAAACCTGCAGGGACCCCCACCATCGGCGGGGCGTGGGTGAGGTGAAGTCAAAGCCGTTTTTTTTTTGCCGGGCGGTAACGTCTGGCAGAACTTTTTACGCTCCAAACTTTTTGGATGAGATCCTGGCAGCGATCACAGAATACCCTCTGCGACATGAGAACGCCCTAAGAAAAAAGAAAGTATCGCCAACTTCCATGATAATTTAATATTCCACTTTCTCAACGAACCGGTCTGCGATTGAACGGAAACATCCTACACAATGACCAAGACGGCGAGCGCAAAGCGCAAGCGCGCCGAGAGAGAGGCCCTCAAGGCCGCCGAGTCCAACAAGCGCGCAAAATCCTCCCACGACGCCTCGGCCGACGGTAGCAATTCCCCGGACTCGAACGATGTCGCCGACGCCACCACAGGCTTCAATGGCACTAGACTGCCCAAGATCCTGCTGGAGAAGAAGCTCTTTGTCGAGAACTCGACCGGCAAGGACCGTGTTCGCGAAGCGAAGCTGTACGACCTCCTCAGCAGCGAGAACGAGACGGACCGCCTCGAGGCCGCTGGCGCCATCATCTCTAGCCTTCTCGACGACGAGGGCGTAACGGAGGCGTGTCTGACCAGACATCTCGATTGGCGACTGTTCCGTGGTCTTGCTAGCGGCAGAGCGGCGTCGAGGTTGGGCTACAGCGTCGTCTTGACCGAGATCCTCAGCCAGCTCCTCGGCCCGCCCAGGAACTTGTGCCGCGACAAGTACCCTGGTCTGACGTTTGATAAAGTGCTGGAGATGTTGATGGAGAGGACGCGTTTCGGAGGAAACATCTCAGGACAGGAGGAGCGAGACCTGTACTTTGGACAGCTGTTCGGGCTCGAGTGCTTCGTGCGCGCGAGGATCCTGTTTCTCGAAGAGGAGGGCCCCGACAGGTGGAACGAGATTCTCAGACTGCTCGTCAAGCTGGGCGGCAAGAAGATTTGGCTGCGGCCGCAGTGCGGATGGGTCGTTGCGCAGGCCTTGGCGCAGCTGGACCGTCCCCACGTCGAGATGGTGCTGCAGCAGCTGGTCGAGCTCGGCTGGGCCAAGACCCCCGAGGGTGTCGGCATCTGGCTTGTCGCATTTGAACAGTGCCCTGAGTTGACTACCGGCGACAAGGCGAAGCACCACCACCCCCTTTCTTCGAGAAACCTGGGCGAGCTGGCGGGCATCCTGAAGGAGAGCGGGCAGGATGACGTGGAGAAGCAGCAGAAGCAGCAGCAGCAACAACAACAGCAATCGAGGAGGGGCAACTATGTCAAGAACAAGCAGGCCAACTGGACGCCGCAACTGCACTTCGTATGGGACCTGATTGTGCGGCACTTCCTGCGCAAGGGTCCTGCAGGTGTCGATGAGTTCAGATCTTTCTGGAAGCGAGTTGTTGATGGTGAGTATCGAAAGGTTGCAGCTTTTCCACGCGCCGAGCTAATCGAGGCATTGCAGACAACTTCTTCGCCAAGACCGCCACTGAGGGACAAAAGTTCAGGGGCTTCCTGGTGTTCCAGAAGATGCTCCAGAGCTACGCCGATATCGACGACCTCCTCGACGTGCTCTTCAGCAGGAACCTGATGACATGCCTCATCAACCAGGCATCGCAGGAGGATCGCTTCCTTCACCGGGCAGCTTTGAAGACTTTGAAGGTCGTTGAGGAGACTTCTGCGGCGCATCCTGAGGCCACTGGCATCATTCTCGACAACCTGATTAACAACAACGGACTGTATCGATTCGATGTCATGACCAAGAGCAAGACGGTAGACAAGATTCTTCAGCATGTGAAAGCCGATACTGGCGAGGATGTCATCCAGGTTCTTAGCGGACCTGTCATGAAGACTTCTACGACATCGTGCGTCGAATCCCCTTCCTTGCAGAATGACTTGTGCTTGATGCTGACTTTCACACAGAAAGGATATTAACTCGGTTAAGCTCGACCTCCGCGTTTACATCGAATACATCTTCCGCCTGACTACCTCGGCACCGGAACCTGCGCTTCAGGAGCTGACATCTCTCGCCTATGCCAAGCCCATATGGATCCCGGAGAACGCAAACTCGCTAGTTACGGAACTGAGCAGAAGCCGACTTCAGTCAGCCTTTGCAAAGCTCTCTCGCAAAGCTGAGGACGCCAATTACCTGTGCACGGCAGTGCAGTCGATCAACCCAGACTACATTCGTATGGAGGGAGAGATGAAGAAGGAGGTTCACGCAGCACGGAAGCGGTTGGAGAAACTCATGAAAAAGAGTGCCTCCGCTAGCGAGAGCTCGACGGACGAGGTCAAGATTTCACAGGGCTTGGCGCTGCTTCACGCCATTGCCATCTTCCAGCTCTACAACGAGGAGCCGGATGCGTTCCAGCTTTTGAGCGATCTCAAGGAGTACCAGACTCGCCTGCAGACGGACGAGGAGGGTGCTGCTGAGTTCTTGGTCGAGATCTTACTTTCACTCGTCTCTCAGCAGTCGTCGCTTCTACGCGAAATCTCGCAGCGGGTGTTTGGCTACTTTACTAGCAGAGTTTCTCCCAAGGCGCTGGAGCTATTGCTGGACGTCCTTTCCGCCGACGAAAGTGCCAAGGGGCAGCAGTCGCTCTTTGACGTCGACGCCGATGATATGGATCTTGAAGACATGGAAGAGGACGAGGAAGACGAGTCCGACGATGAGGCCGGTTCTGACGCTGAGGTGGACTCCAACGTCGAATTCGATGCTCTTGACGCCGGCGATGATGAGGAGAACGACGATGACGAAGGAGAATCTGGATCGGACGAAGAGGCAGACGACGAGGAAGCACAGAACCTCGCAAACCTCGACGACGCTCTCGGCCAAATTCTCAACAGCCACCGCCTCGACAAGGACGAAGACGCAGAGTCATCGGACAACGACTCGGACATGGGCGACGACGACATGCTGGAGCTGGACGGCAAGCTGGCCGAGGTCTTCAAGCAGCGTCAAAAGGCGGCGCCGAGCAAGAAGAAGGAGCGCAAGGCCGCCAAGGAGTCCGTCGTCAACTTTAAGAGGCGCGTGCTGGACCTCCTCGAGATCTTTGTGCGCAACGAGGCGGGTAGCCCGACGACGCTGGCGATCTTGCAGCCGCTGCTGCAGCTCGTCCGCACGTCGACCATCAAGACGCTCTCTGACCGGGCTTTTGAGCTGGTCAAGGACTACCAGAAGCGCGCGCGCAAGGCGAGGTCCGGTGGTGGCGGCAAGTCGACGGAGGACAGCAAGTTGGACCTTGAGGAGGCGGTCGAGGTCCTGAAGGGCGTCTATGCTGAGCTCAAGGCCGGCGAGACAAAGTCTCACGCAAAGGCCGCTGTGCCTGCCTGCCTGATCGCTGCTTCTGGCGTGTTCCACGCTGGCAAGGGAGACCGGGCTGCCGTTGATGCCATTGTTGGGGATGTGGAGGAGGCAACGGCGACGCAGCTGGAAATGAAGAAGGCCTGGGACGAGTGGTGCAGGAACCAGGAGGCTCTGAAGAAGAAGGCGGCCGGCGGTGCTGGAAAGAGTACATAGATGAGGGAGAAAGACTCAGATGGGGTCTAGTAGATTTTTATCTGATACAAAAGCTTTTGTTTCTGGCGCATGGGAATGGGATGGGAACAAAGATCTGGATTTGTGTCACGTCGAAAATAAAAGCATTGACCTCATGAGGCACAGGGAAGATTCTGGGCTCACGGTCTTGAGTATATTTAATACATAGAGCCCAACTTCCACAATTCATACAGATTTCGCAGATCATCATATTTTCTTTTCTCGCTTCTTGATACTCTCTACTCACCTTGAATTGGCTTGCCTTTTCAACTTATCTTCTACATGTCAATTTGATCCCTACTCACCCAGCTCCTTTAAATAGGAGAACACCAACCAATGATTTTTTTTTGTTTTTGACCTTACAAACTCGACCCAGAGTAAGCCCAGCAGACAATATCATGCCATATACCAAAAGGAAACTCTTCAAAACTTGACATCCCAAACTCCACCCTGGCGCTTGGGGTCGTTCCTAACAGGAACTTCACCGGCCCCTGAGCTTGCACCAACTTGGACAATTGTGGCATCACCTGGGCTAAATTCATACACTTCAACAGCTCGAGCCGTTCCAGTCTCATCCCCATGCCAGGTAGCTCTACGGCTCGACAACGTAGCAGGGGTAGGCAGGTGGAAGTCGGGGTTCCCATCTCTACGCAGCCTGGCAAGAGTACCATCGTCCCTGCTCACCAATAAGCCGAAAGTGACCCAGTCAACCTGGGGAGGCTCCCTTGTATCATCACCACCCAGATTCCCAGAAGCTTCTCCATGCGTCGACTCACCACTAGAAGAGATGCTCTGGCTGGTTGGCTCGGGTGGCGGGCTGCCTGCTTCGGATTCGGTCTCTCGGTCCCAGAAAGAAAGGTCATTGGGCGGGCCCTCATGGGCAAGGGAGTCTGTAGAATGAGACCATCTAGACTGGTTCCCATCATGACTACTAGAAGGCAAGCCCTGACTGGGTGAGGCCGAGGCTGGATCCGGGTTGCGGGCTCTAAGAGCACCTGTTGCGGCCTCGACCTCTCTAAGCCATTGAGAGACGCCGATCTGGGTTTGGTCAAATGCGAGCGAGTCTTCAGACGGAGACGAAGTGGAGCCTGAGCCTGAGCCGTCCAGCTCTGAGTTCTCGCCGAGACCTACCGTGACGTCCCCTGTAAGCTGGCGATAGCTCAGCAAGGAGGTGGAAGATGATGCCAGAGAGCCTTCTCTAGATAGAGGCAAGGGGGATACATAGTCCGGAGCTTGGTCAACCACTAACCGTTGCTGAGCCCTGCACAGCAGAGAGGCGAAGCAGCTAAAAGTATACATTTTGGAAGTAGTGTGGGTTGTGCTAGTATACTCCTGAGCGCGTATTTGGATACGTATTTGGATTTGCGGCAAGGTAGTTTGGAGGTGTGTGATGAAGTTGGGTGTGAGTATAATGGGTTCAGAGACTTGGACAATGGGTCATCTCTTTTTAAGCTCATCCTTTCAGGCAAGAAACCGCCTTGGGTAGTTAGCAACCACCTTGGGTCGTTCTGCTTGAACAATGTATAGGAGGGAACAAGGACATTGTTATCTGTCTAGTTGAAGGAAGTGTTTACTTCACAGCCAACTAACAAGCACTCTATACGTTTACTAGTGATACTATTCAGCCTTATTAGTTTAGGAAATAGATGATTGTGCCGAGTCATACTAAGTTCCCTTTCTACAGCACATGTTGGTCGTCATGTCTCTGTTCTTTCCCAAGACTGGTTCTGGTCATTATAGAACTACCATGACTTTAGCCCTACTTGAATGATACACAACTTCAACAAGAGCGTAACTTGATGTCAGGAGGGTCTATTTGGATCCAAGCTGGAATAACAACGGAAGAAAAGGCCCACCGGCTTACAATGTAGACTGGAAATTAAAATTCAGAAGAGCTCACCTTTTGCGAAGATCTCTGTATTATCCTTTAATATTGTATGCTAGATATCATTAGCTTGGTCTTGGATTAGAACCCTTTAATTGAGCTTTTCCCGGAATGACACCCCTTTAGACCGTCCAACCGCGCCACCAGCAACATCAGTTTTGTGGTCCAACACCCGGGCGGGCAGACGGCCGGTGATACCGTCAAGGTCGGAGCCGCTATACCTTCTCGTCCGCGAAGGCGTGGCTGTCATGCCGCAGATATCCTCAGATCAGCTTAGAGAAGCCAATCATGTTGCCGTCCAATGTATCGGTTAAGAGCCACGAGTACAATAACACAATTTTCGACGTAAATCGACCTTCCTGACTTGCCCATTTTTACCGCGAGTCCTGGCAACCATGATGGAACCGTGGGAGTATAAAGTCAGCAGTCTCCTTCACCCATAGAAATTATAGGCTTTCTCCTTTATATCTCCACGTTCCATCCAAAAGCCAAGGTTTCTCAAGTCACCACCACCTATACAAAGTCACCAAAATGCATCTAACAACACCCTTCACGGCCGTACTCGGCCTCCTCATCGCAGCCGGCGCAGCTTCCCCCATCCAGAAAGACAAAGTCTCTATCCCGGCGGACGTATCCGATGACCAATCTTCGGCGATGACCGTTCCAATCGTAAGTCGAAAACCTGCAGCCTCTTGCCGGTACCGACATAAGTACTTCGACAAGACACGTTTTGCGCATGAACACAGAAGCTAACAAACTCCACCACAGGACGTACGAAAAGCTGCTCTAATTCCATGTTCCCTCCGAGGATCTGTTTAGCTAACAAAAACCACAGGGACAATGCTTCTTCCGCTGCACCCCAGCGCTGATTATCGCTGTCACGTGGAACTCATGCATCAAGGATTGCATGGCGCCGAAATTGTCAAAATACCAAGGCAGAGTCGAAGATCGCGAGTGGCAGTGAACTGATTATGGAAGAATTTTGAGATTTTGTACGGATGGACTGCGGTGTAACGCTAGGCTGGTGAACTATTATCACGACTTACTTACCACTGGATGAACATATCAATTACCTGTAGACGCCAACTTTGTCGAATCAATCTCCCAACACGCCGAGTCTCCGGTTAGAGCGAGACCATCAATGGCATAACAGTTGTAAAGTACATGAAGCTTCACATAGTCAGTAAACAAAGTGAACCATGATGTGTCTCCCCATATCTGTTCCGGGAGAAAGACGTGGTGTCTGTTTAGGAAAGTTTCATTCTCTCCTACCTTTGATTGCCTCGGAGAAGATGGTATGCCAGTGCCCTAGGCAGGCAACATATTTTCCTAAACTAGGCTACAAGGGATTTTGGACATAAATTCACACTTTAGGCACTGTTACGACGCCGTTCCGTTGGCGTTGCAGGTGCAGCCTTGGGCCGATTTGTCCATGTCAGGGGTAATAGTTCACGATTACTAACACGGTCAACTGCTCGATGCCAAGATCTTTGGCAGCACAGTACACCCAGAGGAAAAGAAAGGAATGCTATCTATTCATACTGAGTGAACACAAGGCTGAGAATCTCGCCAAAATTTGTCCTGCTCCCACGTGGTGCTTCCAAGTCGATCTCGGGTTCACCATCTCGCGGTGTGGCTAGACCGTTCTTCTTGGAAGAAACACGAACACATCTCCATCCACTAACACTTGAGTTCGTCGCACATCTTGCAACCTGACGTGAAACATTTAGGAAAGCCATGCCTCTATGGTCAATCAACATGAATTCGCTTACCAAAGTAGATCACAGTCTCGTCCTATACATCTACACCCGCCCTCAGCACTAACTCACCTCATCTCCCAAGGCAACTTTCTCTCTTCACTTTGATCTCCTCGCATACCCGTCCAACTGTCCAACAACATTCACAAGCCTCAGCAATTTCCACGATCCCAAACCAAGTACCCAAGCCGCAGTTCTAATCAAGCACCCCACTGGGCCGGTCGATTATCCCAGTACCCATCAGCATTCGGATACGCCCGCAAACAGGCATAGAAACTAAAATCTGTCGTATCCGCCGGCCCGCCCTGTCTGATATTCGGCGAGAAATGCGCCCCAATCTTCGATCTACACAGGGGACAGCGAAACTCCGCCGCCCACGTCTCCTCCGTCTCGTCACGCCCGTCGCGTGCCCCGCGGAGGTCCCGCAGCGCCAGCCAGCTCTTGAGGCACTTGCGCCCCACGTACTGCGAGCAGCAGGGTAGCATCACGGGCTCGTGATTCGGGTACTCGTCCCACTCGGACATGCAGATATTGCAGTTTGGCGAGCCGTCGGCGACGGCCGCCGCGGGCAGCACGGCGTACATCATCGTCCTGGCGTCCGCCGAACGGTTCCGCGACCTCATGTCCGCGAGCGCAATTGCCGTGTTGCGGTTGATTGTCTCAAAGTGATGGAGGCCCGTGTCAAGCATCATGCCGAGCCTGTCGGTCGGTCGGGTGCTGGACGGAAGGATGGGCCAGTGGTGCTCGACCCAGTAGACGCACTCCTGGATGAGGTCGGCGCCGGGGAGATCGGGGTCAAGGGTCAGGTACGCCGGGTGCGAGGCGTGGTCCTCGTAGTGCGGATTCGGCCACGGGTTGAGCACGGCGAGCAGGGCGCCGCCAATATACATCATGATCTGCTCGTCTAGGCCGGCGTCTAGGGCGAGGAAGTTGTACAGCCAGGCGAGGAAGTGATAGCGCCGCCACACGGCGCGGCTCCAGTCTTCCTTGCCCAGCCAGGGCATCCTGTGGGAGTGCCAGTACGCGCTCGATGGGTGTTTCTGGGACTCGTCCGAGCCCCTCTCTGAGATGGCGTTGCGGGCTCGCTTCGCTCTCTCCAGGAGCTTGTGTAGGCGGCGTTCGTAGGTGTCTCTGCTCAACGCCACGAACGCCATCTGGTGACCGGGAAAGTCGCGCTTATCGTTGTGCAAATTCTCCAGGTTGATCGCTCTCTCGCTCGGCCCGGTGGTAAGTTCCCACACTTCCTCATCCTCATCGAAAGCTTGTCCCCGAATCTCCTCGGCAAAGACCTCGAGAGTTCCAGCTTCATCGGTCCTGTACGCCATATCCTCGAGGATATGAGCTGCTTCGTTTTTCCTCATGGCAAACGCAGGGTTTACGCGCCACACCTCGTCCATGGGCTTGCAGTCGCAGTGGAATACGTTATGCCCAATGTGTGTCCGCAACAGCTTGCACCAGATCTCTGGCCAAGCGGACGAGATTTCCATTTCCCACTCGCGGCTCTCGGCTTCCACGGGGAAAGGTTTCGATAGCATCGTCAAGGACAGTCTGAGTAGCTGGCGGAGGTAATTCTCGCGGTAGATTATGAATTTGTGAGTCGGGATGGCCTCCAAATAGACCCCTGGGCCCGGGAGCCTAATCGTTCTGGGGATTGATTGCATTACTTCGTCGGGGCTGTCATAGTACGCATCGACGTCGCCGGTACAGAAGTAGCATTCTCCGTCCATTATCTGAACCAAGACTCCTCGACAGAGCCCGTTTATGCAATCCGTTGCGTGCAGATGAGCGCATCGGATCAAGTTGTAGACCCAATGGATATGCTTTCTGTGCGGTACTTCTTGAAAATCATGTTGAGTGTTCTCTCTGAAGACATTATCTTCTTCTTTCACCAGATGATGGCCATCGATTCTTCTATCCGGCAAAGGGTGTGTTTGTTTTTCGCCATCATGTAGCGTATATCCAGGTGGTTTCGTGCAATAATACCTGCGCCATAAGATGATACACATATTGGATACGGTGTCTCTTCGATGCTATTCAAACCTGCTCGGAGGCAGGTGACGTTGTTGTCGAATCGATGAATTTTCTATGCGCTTGGGGTTGATAGTGTCTATTTGACCCGTCGCAAAGCTAGCAGGGAAGGTTTCATTTATTGTTGTTCATCCGCTCAACACTCTTCCAATACTCCAACTAAAGTTGGCAACTTAACGAGGGTTGAAAGAAACGCTTCTGCTCGAAGCAGCTGCTCTCGCTGTGCCCCCAGCCGAATGGGACAAGGGCCGCTTGTTGACGACGAAGGCAAACAAAGCCTCGAATGTGTATCAATTGTCAGAGTTCGTCAAAGACCATTTTCCCTTGTTACATGGATTCGCAGGAAAGACGCCACTGGATGAAGCCCTTGCATTTTTCCATTGTACTCCTTGAGCCCATTGTCCTCAATTGCTCCGACAGAGTATTGAAAACCACCCCTCTGGCGACTTCATGTCGTTCGCTCTTTACTTTATTTAGAATTTCAGGAAACGTCTCGAAATCCCGAAATACGACGAAGAGGATCCGGGAGGTCATGGTGTCCAAGTGCTGCGGATTAAGAGGAATGAAGAGCCAGGCCCCGAGTCACCGACCACTGGTGTACAAAGTGAGATGGGCCGTCATAAGTACGCAGGTGCCTTTCGGGTGCGAACTGGAGCACCAGCCGGTCCTCTCTGAGCTGCGCGACGTCCCACCAAATATACTTGGTTTCGTCTCCTAGCTTGAACTCCCACGTGCTGACCCAAGTAATCTCTGCAGAATTTCCAGTGACAAGGTATCGGAAAACCACAGCTGATTCTCGCCATGCACCGTATAGTTCCATTACACGGAGTGCCGGCATCTTCTTCGCGACCCTGCCATCTTGGGAAAGAAGAGTGTTGATGAGCTCGGGCTTCTTGCGGGAGCAAACATCCTGGCATATCATCGTCAGAACACGCAGACGCTGCCATGGCAGAGGCGATATAGGTACGCATACTCTGCTCGTGCAGGCGGCAAAGAAGTATATGGCACCAACGATATTGCAGATGACAAGCTTCTCTAGATCGAGACTGCGAATGAACAGATTTCCGACCAAGCCGAGCCGGACTGATAGGCGCCAATTGTAAAGCATTTGTAGATCGCCGTGCTCGAAGATGTGGATTTTTGATAACAGTGGTTTCTCTCGATATGGCCAGATTGCCAGCATGGTCGTCAATTCTATATTAGAAATTAGAGAATCTTCCATAGAATGCGAAGAGATGGGGTAGAAGACGGGCTAGCTTTCACTACTATATCATTGTCTGAAGAGTTTTGTTCCCGTGTATTAAGATGCCTCCATGGTTGGAAGTGAATTGTGCGCAATCCCGGTAGATGCCCTGACAGAGTTGCTGCAAAGGGGGTTAATCGTATTCTGCGCATGTCTTTACGCAGAACGGTAAAACCAGTGACGCAGTTGACGTAGGGAAGACTGAAATCTCCAAGGCTAATAGGGGCAAACACGTATCGCTGCTGTTGCTGCCAGTAGTCCAAGAGCCCTTCTATTCCGCACGAATTGCCGACATCGTTTGGCGAAGAGGCACTGATCTCCAAGTTGGTACTTGGGTATGTTGGTTCGCTAACTGAATCGACATCCTTCTATGCTTCGAGAATACAGAAAAGGATCAAGATGTTGATGGCGAAGCATCCGCGGTCCGCTGCGACCTCTTCATGAGTCTGACGTCTCGAACGATTCTCGATGCAATGGTCCGGTCAACTCGATTTTGAACCCCATGTGTTTAACGTAGTTTTGTCGCCAGTACTTGTTGTGTAATGTCTTGGCCAGGTTTCCCAGCGACTGATCATCCGAACCGACTTGGAGGACCCGAAAGTTTCTTGGCTCGATGGCGTTTTGCCAGTCCCTACGAATGCCTGCAAACCTTCCAGGGTCGTATTCGAGAATCTTGTCTCTGATCTCCTGGGTTAGGTCGCTCCATTGGGCCTCGCTTTTAATGTATTCATGTCGTTTGGTAGGATACTTTTGATAGGATATTTGGGCGCACTTGTTGTCAGACAGGCACAATGGGAAAAATCGAGTATGTTTGGCTCTAAGTCAAATTTTCTGAGAGGTTACCGCCGAATACTCATGGAATCTGAGGAAGGGCAATACCTCGGCTCAAAAGGGACCAGTGAATAAAGAGGAAAGAGAGAGGAAGAAGCAGAGAGAAAAGGAGAGGAAGGTAAGGTATCCACTTGGAATCTCGACTCCTTCCTCCCGTCCTTCACCTCACCACACCTTCACCTCACCACACCTTCACCTTCACCTTCACCTTCACCTTCACCTTCACCTTCACCTTCACCTTCACCTTCACCTTCACCTTCACCTTCACCTTCACCTTCACCTCACCCGGCCTCTATCTTTTCCTGCCTTTCAATCCCGTTGCTACCTACCTTAGCCAGCTACTGGGTACTCCCCAACACACCGCGGGTCGAATGATTATAAGGGAAAGTGCACTTTCTTATCAACACCTCCTTTGAGGACTGTACCTTGCCCCATTCTGGGGAGGAAATACAGTCCAAGGCTTTCTGTGCTCCCTTGACCTCATCGTACATTTGCTGACTTTGTACCACAGCTCGCATGTCAAGCAGTCGTGCAAAATATCCATCAGTGCCACCAAGAAAGTTAACAATAATCCGCGAGCAGTGTCTGATCGACTGGCCAACCATTGTGAAGATGCGCTGGAGATGGACAGAAGCCGTCAAACGACAGACCTCGACGATGTGGAAAGCTTACCTCAGCTGAGGTACTCAGCACTCGCCTTACATAAGACATCAAACCCACACAATTAAGGGAGCGAGATCTGGATCAGTCTAGGCCTAACGAGGATTGGTGCGATTCGTGAAGGCGACAGAATCCCTGCCCGCAGAGGTCGGAAACTTCTCCTTTCAGTCGGGGCCCTCTTTGCAGATGCACCAGGAGGGCGGGATCCCCTGACGCCTGCGACCCTTTTGCCTTTGCTTTGCTGCTACTTCCCACCCCCGGCCGAAGCAGAGGCCAGAAAAAAAAAAGATACCTTGTCCACGGGAAATTCCACCTCATCCAGAATCTCCCCCAGAGAGACCACATTTCCCATTCGCAATCTTGTGGGAGAAAAAATTCCTCTTCTCTTCTGCAGAGACTCGACAGATTCCTACCGGACGGGATACTGTCAATTCGAGACGACGAGTCAGGAGGATACTAGGGAAGGAAAAAAACGAGGTACGTGGTTGTTGTTGCTTAGCTGGCAGCTCGCTCCATGCCATCAGTTGTTCCCCACGTTGAGACGAAGCTAACAACACCTGGCATCTAGCCACAGCTGCGCTTTCTCGATCCCGATACTCCTTTACCTTTCGGCCATTGCGCGCCGCCTTCCCATTCCATCAGAACTCGACTGGACTCGGCAACGACAAGATGAAGTTCAGCAGCATCCTGTCCGTTGGCCTTTTGGTCGTCTCGCCCCTGGCTGCGGCCTGGAGCAAGGAGGGTACGAGCATCGCCATCCTGTCTTGTCTCCGTTGCGCACCGTTGGCTAACGTGTGATAAACAATAGATCGTGAGATTTTCCGTATCCGCGATGAGATCAAGGCCCACGAGGCCAACCCCGAACAGACCTTTTACGACCTCCTCGGCGTCAAGAACAGCGCTTCCATCGACGAGATCACCAAGGCCTACCGCAAGATCTCCCGCACTCTCCACCCTGATAAAGTTCGCCAGCAGCTCATCGCCGAGCGCACCAAGGCTAAGAAGAAGGAGAAGAAGACCCCCGGCGTCAATGTCTCCAAGGCTCCTACTCAGAAGGAGATCAAGGCCGCTGTCAAGATTGCCTCTGAGCGCCAGGCCCGCCTCGGTCTCGTGCGCAACATCATCAGTGGTCCCGATCGCGACCGCTACGACCATTTCCTGAAGAATGGCTTCCCGGCCTGGAAGGGCACCAATTACTATTACAATCGGTACCGCCCTGGTCTGGGCACTGTGCTTTTCGGTGTCTTCCTTGTGGCTGGAGGTGCCTTCCACTACATCGCTCTGTACATGTCCTGGAAGCGCCAGAAGGACTTTGTCGAGCGCTACATCAAGTTCGCACGCAATGCTGCTTGGGGAGACAACCTGAGTATTCCTGGCATCGACGACACCCCCGCCCCTGCTCCTGCTGCCCCCGCCGCCGACGATGAGGAGGGCCCCCAGCTGCCCAGAAACCGCAAGGAAAGACGTATGCAGGAACAAATGGCTCGCAGAGAGGCCGCCAAGGAGCGCGGAGGCCGATCCCGCAAGCCCGCTCCCGCCGCTCGCAGCACCAGCGGCAGCGGTACCGCCACCCCCCGCGAGACGGTTGCGCAGACCGGTCAGACCGGCCCCACCGGCTCCAAGAAGCGCGTTGTCGCCGAGAATGGCAAGATTCTTGTGGTTGATTCCCTCGGAGACGTCTACCTCGAGGAGCAGGATGAGGATGGCAACACCGAGCAGTACCTCCTTGACGTAAGTGCCCAAAATGCAAGCTAAAGCTTGTCAACCTACCGCGACACGAGGTCTGCGAACGATGCTAACTCAAAGCAGCCCAACGAACTGCCTCAACCCACCATCCGTGACACCGCGCTCGTCCGCCTCCCCATCTGGGCCTACAACCGCACTGTCGGCCGCGCCCTCGGCAAGAACACTACTGAGCTGGAGATCGACACCGAGGACCTGGACTCTGATGACGGCGAGATTCAACACACCCCCAGCTCTGACTCTGCCGCTGATGACTTTGAGCTCTTGGAGAAATCGACCGATTCTTTGGGCAAGGCCAAGGCTTCCGGTGCGCAGACTGGAGGCAAGACCAACAAGCGCAAGAACAAGAAGCGTTGAGGCATTGGTTCAAGATCTGGTTGATGTATAGAGCTTCACGGCGGGCCTCTTCGAACCCTCTGACGGGTTTTGCGACCTTGATTGGTCTTGAGGATCAGACAAGCGACCCAGAGGTGCATGATGCGTCATGAAGCTGCAGCCAGTCTCGTCGTTAACGTAGATTATTCATCAATGCAAATTCTCGTACGAACTGTAAAGTACAATAGGAAGGCCACAATCTGTTGAAGGTGTCAGTGTGCTGCATCGTGTCTAGTGCATTGTGCATTGGGGGATGAGGTTTGTTGAGTATGTGTGTGTGTGTGTACTTCACAACAGGCCGTGACAGATACATCATACGGGCACACTTGTTTCCATTCCATTTCTTCACACCATTGTCCTCGAGCACCGGAGGAAAGGCCCAATGCGGTTAATGTTTCCCGTCAAACATGTTGCGACCCTGCGCAAGTGCGTGAGGCCGTTACCTGCCCCTCTGCACCTCATAACTCTGTTTCGTCCCTTCCTATGGCATCATGGCTGCATGATGATTTGTTGGCACAGAAGATCAAGTGTCGCTCGGTGGTTCGTCCGCTTCACGTAGCGGCGATAGGCTTTTGCAGCACTCGACTTACACCAACACCAACACCAACAACAACCCTCGATGATGTTTCTTTGGCATCCATCACAGCCAGTCAGCCAGTCAGTAAAAAGCACAGCGGAGTCTTGACTCGACCTTGTTCAAGATCCAAAATCATCAGTCCACCTCTCCTATCTTTTGCGTCTATATCCGTACCTCACAACCGAATGTTTCCATCCACCACAACCACCACCATCCAGCCTCTCAACTGTCGGCCTGAAACATAGGAGATCCTATGCCAAAAACAGACCACTTGTGCCTAGCTTATACCCAAAAGAAACTAAACCCGCAAGCCAAGCGCCCACCCCGCTCTTCTATGATCTACGGCGACGACCAGGGCTCGAGCGCGCCGCACAGCAACCACGCAACCCAACGCTCGAGCCGCATGGTCGCCCGTTTCCGAGCCGGTTCCAGCTTCGCAGCCCCATTGACCTGATGATTCCTTGCCCTCACCTCTTCTTACCACGCTTTAGCGTCTGTTCGCCAGAGACGCCATTTGAACCGCTAGATGGAAACCCTATCTCAATCAAGACGCTACTTGCGTTTTTCCTACGCTTCTGACTGGCGAATATGTCGCTGGCTTCAAGTTCGCTTCAAGGCCGTTCCCTGTCGACCTCTTAGATAGAACCCAAGGTTGCCTCCCACCCCTCAGAGGCTCATGGCTAACGGAGCAGTCCAGGAACCTTCGCCAGCTTCGTCCCACCATTGATCTCGTCTCCTCAATTACACATACACACACATGGATCACTCCCCAACACATGAGCCGCGTTCCCAAGATCCTCGAGGGCGTCGGAGATTGTATTCGGACCTCTTTGGACGAGCGTTTAGTGACGATGGTCCCGCCCGCTACCTTCGTCTAGACTCGTGTGTTCAGGTCGCCCGGCTCTCCACACCCGGGACACTAAGCTATTCTTAAGACTGGCTCGTACATCGAGATATGAAGCTACCCCTAAACCTATCTGCCACTTCGGTTTAGACGTTCCTGATATGTATATCGGGTAGCCCCTCCCTTGACCCTGACGGGTCCATCTCTCTTCCCGTCGTCCGCTCTCTATATCGTCTTGCCCGGTCTTGTCCCGTCGACTCGGATCACACTCTGCACTTCCCATTCTACCAAGCTGTAAACCGACGGTCGAATGTCACCCTCGTCATGACGCTCACGTGAAGGAGAAAAGAAAGAATACTGCCTACCAAGGGAATACCCGTGGATGCTTCGATCCCATCATGGAGGATCGCAGCGGGCAAGTGCTGGCCGTGGCGGTCCTCTTCTTCATATTATGTTGGATCGCCGTCGGCCTGCGCATATACTGCCGTGGATGGATTACACGATCGCTCGGCACCGATGACAAGATGATGATCGCCCTCATGGTACTTCCCTACGAGACATCACACAACAAGTAAGAAGTACACACTCGCTGACTCTCTTGGCAGCTCATCTTCACCATCTACCTCATCACTCAGATTCAAGGAGTTCGATATGGAACAGGCCGACATAGAACCGATCTCACCCGGGAACACAATCGGGACGCTCTCATGGTATGCTCTTCTCGGAGGCCCTTGGAGCGCAAATGAGTGCTGCCAGTAGAATCGCGACTAACACCCTCTCTAGTACTGGTACATCTGCGAACTGCTTTACATTATATCAACCTGCCTTCTCAAGATATCTGTCGGCTACTTTCTCATCCGCGTGTCCATCCGCCGAAGCCACATCTGGATCCTTCGCATTCTCATGATCGGCACGGTGCTTTTCGGCTCGACATATTTCTTCATGGTCATGTTCCAATGTCGGCCAATCCAGACATTTTGGGAGGAATCGCCACGCACAGAAGGAAAGTGCTTCAGCAATCGTGTGGTTGTCATCATGACCTTCACGGCCTCGATTATCAACTGCCTTGCCGACTGGGCCTTTGGTATTCTCCCCTTGTTCATCGTCTGGTCGCTTTCCCTCCCCAAGCGCACCCGACTCCTTGCGTTTGGCATTCTCTCATTTGCTGCCATCGGGTCTGCCGCAACCGTGGCAAGATCCGTGTACATACCAACCCTCCTCGACGGCGACGACTTCCTATGGGCGACTACCGATGTAGCTCTGTGGAGCACCGTCGAGCCCGGCATCGGCATCACTGCCGCGTCGCTCGCCACCCTTCGCCCTCTGTGGCAACTCGTATGGTACCGCGCGGGCATGCGGTCTCAGGCGCCTCGCGCAATAGCATGGCGAGAACGGTTCAAGGGGCAGCCGAGTTATGTCCGCAGCGACGGCTCAGACCCTCGTCACCCACGACACCCCGTGCCAGACGACGCACCCCTGGAAGAGATCGAGGCTGATATCCGGGCCGAGTTTGAGGCGGAAGTGCCCCGCATCGCTCGATCCCAAGATGGCTACAGCTCATCGGCACCGACGAGACGGAGCGGCTTGAGTAAGGACTTCAATCTCGCATACGAGAGAGAGAGGCGAGACGAAGATGTGGAGTCCCTGGTGGTCCCCCGCGACGACGGCGATGGTGGGCAATGGCTCTGTCCGTCACCCCGCGAAGTAAGACACTTTTCTCCTGCCACTACCCCTTCATCAAACCAAACCCAGACTAATAATTGCGCAACAGGATGATAATTCGTTTGAGCTCGAAGACGGCCTTCACCTGACACCGAAAGTGAGATCACCCGCGCCGACCGTGAACTGGTGTTCACCACGCATGTCCGCCATATCGATGGGCTTCGGCTCCTTCAACCGAGAGAACCGCGACTCGACCCACTCAGCCCTCACACTCGGCGTCAACAACTACGACGGCGCAAACCCCACGGGCAACCGAGCGAGCAGACTAAGCAGGCTGAGCAGCGTCAGCAACGTTCACGATAACCACAACAACAGCAACCGGGCGAGCAGACTAAGCACCCTCAATAGTCCAGGCCACCACTACCGAGACAGTAGGATGACCGTGGAAACATACACGAACACGACGAACCCGCGCCACAGCAGCAGGTTCGACAACCGCTACAGCCGGACGACGCGAGCCAGCAGCCACTACACGCGCGGCTCGCAGTTCCTAGCGCCGCCCTCGCCTGGCGACTTCCCCATGCCTAGCCCGCCTCCAAGTACATGGCAGGTCAACGTCCCCGGGGGCATGGACTCGGCGCAGTGGCTTTCGTCTAGGATGGCGGAACATCCGGGCCATCCTAGCAAGAAGCGGTAGACCAGACCTACCTGAAGGGGTTACCTGCCTACTTTACCACATTCTCATCACCACTAGACGAAAAAACTTAACATTACCTAATTATCGACGACGACGAACAACTACATATACCCGGCGTACAGGATACCACCACCACCATTGAAATTTCGGAAACAGGGGGAAATGGACGAGAGCATATTGAGTCGTGTAGACGGGGGGGGAACACCAAGCTAGGAGTCTTGTTCATGAGAGGCAAACTACTTCGAGGAAGGAGCAAAAGACGGCAATATGCAAAAGGCCAGATAATAGTACGGCACATGATGTATGATATATAGAACTGACTTACCTGCCAAGGTATCTCAATAATTTGATTTAAATTGCTTCAAAGAATTTGGAATACCTACGTTACCACTATTGTACCTGGGTACTTACACCTAAATAAACGACAGGTTCTCAGCGGGATTCCATAGTGAAATTAAATGCTTGGCCGGGCTGTATGTTGTATGGCGAGAGTTTAGACTCGACGAGCAAGATGATGCGTGATCGAACACGCCAGCTTGAGGCCTTGGCAAGAGACCCAATCATCCGTTCTGCATCTTACCTCAACGTACCTTCTCTGTTGCCTGACTTAATGAACAAGTTCCCTTTCTACACTTCCTCCGACCGTCGCAACCCCATACACATACCGAGAGACCGCGGTGTATCGTCATCGGAATGGAAGCAAACGAGCTCCTTTCACCAAATCACCGTCGTCAGCTCAGCTTGAATTTGAATAGAATGTTTTATTGTTTTGGTAGTCCTGTTCGTTCCTCATGCCTGCCTATTGGTATACGCCCAATTACTTATTCATAACATTCTTGACAAAAAAGAAATCAAAAGACAAAAGAAAACTGGGGAAGAAACACATCTGCCTACGAGAGGCAATCCAATGATTGCCCTCCTGATTATCCGACGTTGTCTTCCCATGCAGTGTAGGTATCAAGGCAAGTGTCTGCTGCTATGCTGAAAAAGTGGTGATGTGCCATGGCTCTCTTTCCTCGCCGCATTACATGTCCATGGCCTCGATGTTACCGCTTCCGTAGTGCTGGAACGCACCATATTGGTTCTCCATCTGCATCTGCATCTGGAGGCTCTGCTCCCGAGCCCAGTCATCGCCGAAGCCCTTGTAGACGGGGTCGGTGGCAGGCTTATAGCCGCTGGTGCCGACTGCAGAGCCGTAGTGGGAATAGTTGCTAGGGGGAGAGGCCTGTGCCAGCTCCTGCTCGCGCTCGTACTCACGACGCATAAGCTCCTCGTAGCCAGACATCATATACGGCTCGACTTGCGAGGTGATGGAGCTTGCCAGCCAGCGGCTGTCATCTGACTGGACTTGGGTACCGTCGAGGCTCATGACGGCGTTCTGCTGCTGCTCCTGTTGCTGCTTGTCTGCTTCCATGCGCTCATATCGGAGTCTCGCCAGCTGCTCCTCTTGCTCAAGTGTTGTGCTTGTCCATGCCAGCGACGGGTTCTCTGTGCTCGAGGTAGGGGGTGCGGCGCGCCAAATCTCAAGAAGTCGCAGCTGGTGGGGTTCTTCGGAACAGCGGAAAAGTTGAATCTGAGAAGCAGAGAGGACTGAAGGGTCGACGCCGTGCTGGCTGAGGACGGCCTCGGGAGTCAACTGCTCGGTCTGGGGAGGCTCGGAGGAGGGGCGCTGAATGGGGGCTTCTTGAGCTTGCTGACGGACAACATGGGCGGAGTGGGTGTAGTGCTGAGTGATGGAGTAGATGATGGGCGCCGGCGTTGGGGCGGGACTGGTGAGGGTGGGTTCCGGGGACTGCTTGACTTCCTCCTCTACCTTGGGCTGAACTTCAGGGTTGAAAGTTAAGTTGCGGGAGAAGAGAGTTGCGAGGTCATCTTGGACCTGCATGGTGGGGGTGAAGGAAACCATCGTGCTGCATAGAATGTTAGTAGTGGTTCACTGTTATCGGTTCATGTTCCGTGTTACTTCCGGCGCCGCCGTGGAGGGGCCATCTCCGAACAAAGCCCGGCGGGGCTCCGGGCGTGGATGATGATGAAGGGCCCGATGGCGATGGGAGTTTGTGAGAGGAGGGGGAAAAACCTACCTTTTTGATTGATGGGAATCTGGTGATTGAAAAGCCCGAAAAGGCCCTTCGTCGTAAAGCTGCTTGCTGTAGAAGTAAATCTTGTCGGGGGTGGGAGCAAAGAAGACAGAAATGTGCTGTCTTCTTGATGCTTAATTTCTTTCTTGGCTTGGTAATCGGTTTCGGGGGTTCGGACAGTGAGTGGTAGCAGAAGAGAAGTGTTTCTTTATATTGGCTACTCTATGTAGGTACTCTCGAGTGTTTCTTCTTCTTCTTGGGATTGTTGTTGAAAGCAGAAATAAGAGCAAAAGAAACTCGAGAAAAGAGGAAAAGCGACAACGAAGAGTCACAGGAAGACAGCGGTCGAGGTGTTTCGTGAATCGGGTTCGGTACGGTGATTCCTTGGGCAGGAAGACAGCAGTAGTGGTGCCGGGGTTGGAGACTGGGTGGATGTGAAGTGGTGCAGCAAGGTCAGCGGATGCAGTGGGAGCGGGTTAGTGGTGGGGTGAGGGTTCTTCGTTGTCGCTGTTGTCGAATCTCGCAGGGGCGACGGCGGCGACACTCGGTTGGGTGTAGCAAATCGATAGTCAATGAAGTTCGTGCCAGGTAATGCGGACAGCCAGTCGTGAAATTATTTTGCAAAGAGGAAAGAGTCGACAAAGTCGAGGGTGAAAAGTGAAGATTGGAATTTTATATAGCAGAAGGAGCCACGGCCGTTTTCTGGGCGGGTAGAGGGAACCTGGAAGGAGGGGGATAGAAGTGGAGGGCGGCAGGCACGACGCACGAGGGGGGAGGGGGAAGCCTGGCAGGGGGAAATTGCCTTAGCTAGGAAGGAGGGGTCAATTTTGGCGGTAGCGGGCAGGTCATGACGCAGCGAGCCCAACGATGCGTTGATGGGAAGGGTAATGTGACCTGACGCTTCAGTCTCTCAGCGCACTTTCTCACTGAAGCCGGGCCCGTCTCTTGTCTCTTTTTTTTCGTCCCATCCCATGGGATCCCGTCTCCGGTGCAGCGTCTGCATCCACACATCACCACTTTCATCACCAACCAACATTCGCACCAACCAACGCTAGCCGACCCGGCCCAAATACTCCCTCGGTCAGGCAGGAATGAATGGCTACCTGAACTATCTGTGCTTCTCAAGAGCATGGTTCGTTTGTGATTCATGTTCAATATTGTGAGAATGGCCGATGATCAGTCAAGTCGTACGTGATTTCCATACCTAGGTACGGGTACACCTCCAGTGACATTTGATCCTTGGTGTAAGGTAATGGCCATGCACACATGCCCTGGCAGAGAGTCCGGCAGCAAGCGTCCAATTTGAAACATATTCTCTCCAAGATCCGCACTCCTCACCCAATGGTTCCGTGACACGATCAGTCCACACAGCTTCTGGAAGACTACGGAGGTATCAAATCAGTCTCCCGTGACACACTCGAGCCCACCTGCCATCATATGCGCACTCTGTAATACCTTTCCCACCACTTGGTATTACTTTCAGTCTTCGGCAGGATGTGGTGACGATGATCCTTCAACTCAGTGCAAATACTCAATGCCCTTGCTATTTTCCCACACTGACTGGCGCGTTTGTTGCATGCCAGAAAGTCCTCAACACTTTCCCGTCTATACTCGAGTTTCTCTAACAAAGTCTCGGGATCCCAGTCCAGTCTTCACCGCTCCTCCCCGAAACCCCGTCCCAACACTCGTTTCGCCGGATCCATCCGGGCCTGGACTCCCCTAAGTCACCGTACTATCGGTCCAAGACAGTATGGGAGTCATGCCAAACGCTTCCACGATTTTCATCGTCTCTGACAGATCCCTCAAGCAAGATGAAGAAGACCCGATACAGATCCTGTACACAGAGAAAACGTGAAAGTCAAGCAGCTCTCCAAAGGCCATTTAATCTCAAGGCACAGATGCCCAGCTGGTGCAACAAGTTGTCGTTCCTCCATGTGATTTTGCAATGTCTCTCTCATCCCGATAACCCCTCTATCCGTACAGCACCTGGCAGCTGCACACCACTGCAGGGTCAAGTGCGGGATGGTGGGGTTATTTTAATTCCCCTGTCAACGTTGGTGTTCACGATGACGGGAAACCGGTCATTCCACCAGCCACATCACGTCGTCTCCAGCCACCTCTTTCAAGTGGCTGGTGCCTTCCTTCCTTCCTTCCTTCCCGGCCTGGATGGATCCACCTTCCCCACAGCTTCCCTTCTCAACCTGAGGCACCCTTGCGTCTAGCCTCGCCCGTCAACCTCGCGCAGCAACACGCAGCTCAGGTTGCCTGAAGCTCTGATCTCAAGGCTCCAGATTCCCCAATTCCAAACCACGTCCCGCCATCGTCATCCACCACCACGAGCTCTCTCTCACGACTAGACAACGTGCCTACGACACCCACTCCATCACGACTCCTTTCGACGCCCAACGAACCCTCAAGTCCCCAATACCACACATCCGTAGCTTTCCCCGAATACCCCAAGCTCTTCTAATTCACAATGGTAAGCTTTCCCTTGCTAGGTTCCCGGGGAATCACCACCTCCAGCGACCGGGGGTTGGCACGAGCTACCAGAACCGACCAACCCAACCTTGGCTCTATATCTGTAGCACACAACTAATATGATGCCTCTCCCGCCTTATTTAGACGTCGATAGGCACAGGTTATGACCTGAGCAACTCCATCTTCTCCCCCGACGGTCGCAACTTCCAAGTCGAGTATGCCGTCAAGGCCGTCGAGAACGGTGGCACATCCATCGGTATCCGATGCAAGGGTGGTGTCGTCCTCGCTGTCGAAAAGATCATTGCCTCCAAATTATGGAAGCCCAATGCCAACAAGCGTATTGCTACCATTGACAGACATCTCGGTGTTGTAAGTCATCCGTTCCCCTCCCGCAATCAATTTACCCCTCCCTCCCCTGCCTCGATATGCATTGTAGCTTCCGAGAGTAGCTTTACCTAACCCTCACGACCTGCCTATCTGCATATCTCTCTGCTCTATTGGCCAGACTGACAAATCAAAAGGTCTACTCAGGCATGATCCCCGATGGCCGCCACTTCGTCGACCGCGCCCGTGAAGAAGCCCGCGGCTGGCGCGACACCTTCAAGACTCCCATCTCCACCGCCGACCTCGCAGCCCGCATGGGCGGCTACCTCCAAGCCTACACCCTCTACTCCTCAGTTCGTCCATTCGGCATTACCGCCATTGTCGGTGGTTTCGACCCCTCTACCGAGACCCCCGTTGACGGCGAAGTTGGTTCTGGCCCCAAGGTCGGTGCTGGCGGCAAGGACACCACCAAGAAGCACGGTGGTCCCTTCCTCTACATGATCGAGCCTTCCGGTCTCTACTGGGGCTACTACGGTGCTGCTACTGGCAAGGGCCGTCAAGCCGCCAAGGCAGAGCTCGAGAAGCTCGACCTCGCTGATGGCGGACTGACGTTGGAGGACGCCGTTAAGGAGGCTGCCCGCATCATCTACGTCGCCCACGACGACAACAAGGACAAGGAGTTTGAGCTCGAGATGAGCTGGATCAGTGATATTGACGGCCCCACCAAGGGCCGCCACGAAGAGGTGCCCAAGGAGCTGCGCGAGGAGGCGGAGCGGTTTGCCAAGAAGTCACTCGAGGGCGATGACGACGATGACGAGGACAAGAAGGAGGACGACAAGATGGAGGAGTAGGATACCGACAGCGAGGCGTGATTGGGTCCTGGCGATGAGTAGAGCGGTGGCCTTACGACAGAATGAGACGAAATCAAAAAAAAGAAATCTGTCAAACACAACACAGGGGAAGCTGCCGCCGTTGGGGGAATGGCGTTCCAGATGACCTTTGTGTACTTGTAAAAACACCATGATGAGGGCTATGGCGGCTGGATCATAGACTAATGAGACCTGGTTTGGGCAAGACTTAGGATTGCAAGGACTTGTGTGAAGCGTGATTGTTGCTGGTGAGGTCCAAGACGAGGTGCTGGGTCAAGCGATGGCCGTTTCTTTCAACTACCTGCACCAGCAATTTCCAGTACCTCTGTCCCACGTCATAGGTTTCTGGTGCTTCACGACCAAAGAGGTGAGCAATTCCGGACACGGCCATCTCACCCATATCGAGCCACAGGCAGAGGCACAGAAACGTGCTTTATCTCTATACTGGCTGCAAGAGGAGTATAGGCGATCTGGGCGTCTTTTTCCTTTTCTCTTCAGTTCGAGGCGTCTAAAGTCTACAGGAGAAGAGGAGGAAGTCGCTCTGCGGAGAGGGTGGGGGGGGGGGGGGGGGGCGGGAAGTGAGAGGATCTGGGACAAGCGGGAGGCGGGTGTGTGGGGGGGGTGGGCAGCGGGTCGGGGGGGGGGGGGGGGGGGGGGTGGGGGCGGGGGGGGGGGGGGGGGGGGGGGGGGGGGGGGGGGGGGGGGGGGGGGGGGGGGGGGGGGCATGCAATGTAGAGATCTCGGATCAACGCGAAGCAGCTGAGAGAGATTTTCCCATCCCGGGCAATTTTCGCTTGCCTTTCCTTTGCTCTTGGAAGCGTGGCTTGCACTTCTGTTGCGGGTGCCGTCTCTGGCGGAGGACTTGGCGGAGGAGAGTGACTGCCCTCACGGCGAGAATGTGGCGTCGGTTGATATGGATCGGTGAATGTTGTGAGTGGTTCATGTGTCTAGCCAGCTTGAGATAAGTTATTCACCCTTGCTCCCAGTCTTAGATCCTTATTATTGTCTGCGTTGTATTCTGGTGGGCACACGCAGACGCGGTGGGCTGGGATGGGAGAACCCTTAACGCCTGATCTTGGGGTGATGGGATTCGCTGCCCTGATTATAAGATAGAGACGACGCTTTGTGTTTATCCCTGATGCTAGAAAAAGGTCGACGAGAAATGACATAAAGTTGCCTGACTCGAAAAATGGTCTCAAGCCGGCTTCATTCCGCCCCTATCATGACGATCTTAGGAATTGACTAGGATGAAGGAGGTAGGGAGGAAGGCATATTATACCTTTTTATCTGCTTGAGTTGATTTCGAGAGATAACCCAGGTGCCCCCCTCCTGTAAAGAAACAAGAAGATACGTTGGTAAGATGGCTCACCAAGGACTTCCATCGTCGACGAGAGAGGTGGCCAATATCCGGCTCACTCATAGACGATAACAGTGACAGAAACGAGACAAGGACTTGAAACATTATGAGAAGACCGTCTATCCGATCGACCTTGTTTCCACTACTAAAATTGCACTCATCATCAACACTAGACGACACTCTCGGTCTACTCCTCGTATAGATCTCAATGGTCTGGCTCTTGCCGACTCGGAGAACATTTTGTACGACGAGCAATGCGAGGAAACCGAGGAACAGAAGGAACTACGTCGAGCAAACGTTCATAACTACTAGAATAACTTACGACGCGGCTCCCGCTTGCTTTAGACAACCTTGCTAAGTATGAAGAATTGACGAATGGATGGTAATTGAGATTGTTGGCTTACTCTCGTCGAACTCTCAAAGTCACCGGACTTTGCTATTTGTATCTATGCTATAGAGAAAGGGGGCCGTGTCTTTCGTTCGGTCGTCCTTATAACTAATATCCCCCAAGATAGGAGACTTCAGGCAATGGCTTCCACCATGAGCTGGATGCTAAATAATCTATTGAAGAGTCTTTGATAGTACGGTGCTAGCTAGGACGCTCATCAACAAGAAGAAGGGTACGCATCCATGTAGTATTCCGTTTGGGATAGTGTCAGGGAGACGAGGGGCCGCGATGTTGCCACATACGACGAAAGCACCAGGCACAGAGATGACACTGAGCACAGAGACAATACTGGTTCTAAAATGTACTTCAATTCAAACTACCAATATAACCGTTCATCACGCCCCAGAGATTTTTCTCATGTCGAATTCCATGCCTCTTTGGTTTTCTCGCTAAATATTTGGGATCATAAATAAAGAATTCAAAGGAAAGTTGCCGCTCTGCCGTAACCCAGCCAGGGTCCCCTTATCCCGTTTAAGCCTTGACAATTCTGCACACCAAGTCGGAGCCGTCGACTGAGTCGCCCTCCTTGACCTGGAGGGTCGACACCTTGCCGTTGTGCGGGGCGGAGATAACCATTTCCTAGGATTGAATGTTAGTAAACAAATTAAGATGGTAGCTGAATACGAAGCAAAACTTACCATCTTCATGGCGCTGAGAACAGCAATGGGGTCGCCCTTCTTGACATCAGAGCCCTCCTTGACACGGAGCTCAACGAGCACACCGGCCATGGGGGCGCCGACTTGGCTAGAGTCGGAGGCATCGGCCTTGGGACGGCTGACATTCTCGACGGAAGCCTTGTTGTCGTCGACAGTAACCTGTCTGACCTCACCGTTCATCTCGTAGAACACCTCGCGCTGGCCAGTGTTCTCGCTGAGAGGACCAATGGCCAAGAGCTTGAGGATAAGGACCTTGCCCTTCTCGAGCTCGACGTGGAACTCCTCGCCAATCTCGGGACGAGACAGGAAGTACTTTGTCGGCAGGACGGAGAGATCGCCGTACTTCTGGATGAACTTCTTGTAGTCCTCAAAGACCTTGGGGTACATGACGTACGCGGCGATGTCGCACTCCGTGACGGGACCGCCGAACTTCTTGTGCAGATCGCGCTTGATCTTAGCGAAGTCGACAGGCTCGAGGAACAGACCGGGGCGCTTGTCCAGCTTTCTGCGGCCGCGGAGGGCGTCGGAACGCAGAGGCTCGGGGAATCCGCCGTACGGCTGACCCATGAGACCCTCGAGGAATTCGAGGACAGAGCCGGGGAAGTCGAGCTCACTGGCGCGAGCCTTGACGTCCTCAGCGGACAGCTTGTTGGAGACCATGAATTGGGCAAGGTCACCGACAACCTTGGAGGTAGGAGTGACCTTGACGATGTCGCCAAGAAGGTCGTTGGCATGCTCGTAGGCCTTCTTGGTCTCGGCCCACTGGGTACCAAGACCAAGCTGGGAAGCCTGGAACATCATGTTGGTGAGCTGGCCACCGGGAATCTCGTGCTCGTACACCTCGGGATCGGGACCACTGAGGTGGGCCTCGAAAGGAGAGTAGAGGAGACGCAGCTGGGACCAGTAGAAGTCCAAAGCACGAACGTGGGCAGGGTTCAAGCCGGTGTCGTGCTCACTGCCCTCGAGAGAGGCAATGATGGCGTTGATACTCGGCTGAGAGGTCATGCCGGACAAGCTGTCAGTGGCAGCGTCGACAGCGTCAGCACCAGCCTTGGCGCAGGCAACCATGGACGCAACACCAGTACCGGCGGAGTCGTGGGTGTGGACGTGGATGGGGAGATCGGGGTACTTGGCACGGATGGCACCGACCAGCTTGGTGGCAGCGTACGGCTTCAAGACACCAGCCATATCCTTGAGACCAAGAACGTGGATGTCGAGAGCGACGAGCTTGTCGACGAGATCGAGGTAGTACTCCAGGTTGTACTTCTTCTTGGGGTTCAACACTGTAACGTTTATTAGCAAAAGAAACATAACTCATAATGACAGTTAAAGAAAGGGAACACTTGCAGTCGCCGGAAATGCAAACTGTTCCTTCAACGACACCACCGGCCTTGTGGACGGCCTTGATACCGACCTCGAGCTGGTCGATGTCGTTCAAAGCATCAAAGACACGGAAGATATCGACACCGTTCTTCTTAGCATGCTCGACAAAGTGGTCGATGGCGTTATCAGGGAGCGATGAGTACGCAACACCGTTGGCTCCACGGAGAAGCATCTGGAAGGGAATGTTGGGAACTGCCTTTCGCATGCGGCGAAGACGGTCCCAGGGGTCTTCGTAGAGGAAGCGGTAGGCAACGTCGAAGGTGGCACCTCCCCAGCACTCCAGAGAGTACAGGTTGCTCAGGCCGTGGCTAGTCTCCTTAGCAATGTTGAGCAAATCAACGGTACGGACACGGGTGGCCAGCAGAGACTGATGGGCATCACGCCATGTGGTGTCCATGAGCAGCGTTCCCTTGTACTCGCGGACAGCCTTGGCGAAGGCCTTGGGACCCTGCTCAGTGATGATCTGTCTCCAGCCCTTCGTGCAGGTCGTGGAGACGTCAACCTTGGAGCCATCCTCATTGAGGAGCTCGGGAAGGATGATGTCGCCCTTGAACTTGGGCTCGCCAATCTGGCCCTTGATGCTGCTACCGTTGACGGCGACGTCACCGAGGTAGGCGAGAAGCTTCTGAGCACGGTTCTGGCTGCCAATGAGGTCGAACAGCTGAGGAGTGTCGTCGATGAAGGTGGTCCAGCAGTTGCCATCAATGAAGGTGGGGTGAGTAAGGAGGGAAGCGAGGAAAGGAATGTTGGTCTTGACGCCGCGAATACGGAATTCGACAAGGGCACGGAGGACCTTTCTCCTAGCAATCTCGTAGGTGGAACCGTGGCAGGTGCACTTGACCAACATGGAATCGTAGTAAGGGGTAATGACAGCACCGGCGAAACCGTTACCACCGTCGAGACGGACACCGTTGCCACCAGCGGAGCGGTAGACCTCAATCTTTCCGGTGTCAGGCTGGAAGCCCTTGGCGGGGTCTTCAGTAGTGATTCTGCACTGAATGGCGAAACCTCTGGTGGAGATGCGGTCCTGGGTCAGACCAAGCTGCTGCAGGGTGGCACCGGCAGCGATCTGGATCTGAGCGGCCACGATATCGATACCCGTGATCTCTTCCGTGATGGTGTGCTCGACCTGGATACGGGGGTTGATCTCGATAAAGTAGTATCTGTTCTGCTGGTCGACCAAGAACTCGGCGGTACCGGCGTTGCGGTAGTTGACCGACTTGGCCAGCTTGACGGCGTCGTTGAGAATGGCATCGCGGACGTCAGAGGGAAGGTCCTTGGCGGGGGCGATCTCGACGACCTTCTGGTGACGACGCTGGACGGAGCAGTCACGCTCGTACAGGTGGACAATGTTGCCGTGGTTGTCACCGAGAAGCTGAACCTCAATGTGCTTGGGCTTGTCCAAGAATCGCTCGACGAAGACTGTGCCGTTGCCGAAGGCGGACTTGGCCTCGGAGGTGGCTCTCTCAAAGTTCTCCTTCAGGGTCTCCTGGTCGCGGACGACACGCATACCACGGCCACCACCGCCGTAGGCAGCCTTGATGATGATGGGGAAACCATATTGATCGGTGAAGCTCTTGACCTCCTCAAAGGTGGCGACGGCGCCTTCGGTACCGGGAACGACGGGGACACCGGCAGCGATAGCGAGGGTTCGGGCAGAGACCTTGTCACCGAGCGAGTCAATGACATCGGCGGAGGGACCAACGAACTAAGAAGGCACATCGAGTCAGTAGTGTTATCAGATTTTAGGGGGAGTTTTTAGCGGGATGTCTCACGATCAGACCGGCCTTCTCGACGTTGCGAGCGAACTCGGCGTTTTCTGAGAGGAAACCATAACCTTTTGGCGGTGTGTTAGTGTCTTGACCACAGCATCTAGACAAGATGCGTTTTCTTACCAGGATGGATCATTTGCGCGCCGTGCTCGACGGCAATCTTGATAATCTCGTCTCCAGCGAGATAAGCACCGACCGGGGTGTACTGGCCGCGCTTGCCAATGACGTATGCCTCATCGGCCTCTGTGGAACGCGGGTTAGAAGGGTGCTTTGGGGAATGTTCAAAGGCTAGATGGGGGCCTACTCTGTCTGTGCATGGAGAGACGGTCCTCATAACTGTCAGGGAGTTAGTATGTAGACCTTGGGGGTTGCCCAGGTGGTGTGCTGTACCTGAAGACTGCGATGGTGTGCAGCGAAAGCTCGTGGGCCTGTAGAGAGTCAGCGCTGGGTCTTCTAGCGCCAGGACGGCCGTGTTAGTTGGAAGAAGTTGGGTAACATACTGTTCTGAAGATCTAGACACATTCCAACGTAAGCATCACTGTTTCTGAAGCATTACCTGAGCTGGAACAAGAATCAACATACACGAATGGCTAGAAGGTGGTGGTGGTTAGCTTGCGTGAGTCAGGAACTCGGCTGGATGGAAGCACTTACGAATTTCACCACGGTTGGCCACTGTAGAGGGGTAAAAGACAAAGGGTCAGCATAGTTCTTGGATCCAGATCCAATAGCGCGAGAAGCCAGGGGGAGAGAATCCAATGGCCTCTCGAGAAAGCTGCGACTCACCCAAGATCTTCTTCAGGTGCATGATGCTCGAGTTGGCGCGGATGTGGTGGATGGTCTGGGGGTCCTTCTGGACCTCCTCAACGTCGCCGTCCTCGAAGACATCGTTGAAGGTGACCTGTGTTTGAGCCATATTGGGCGGTTGTGTGTGTGTGTGAAGGGAGGACAGGAAGGAAGAAGAGGAAGACCGAACGGATTCAGAAGCTACGACGGCCCGTATTTGAATGGACCAAGGAGCAGGGGAAGCTGTTGAGGTCTCAGTTGCGAGACAATTGCGTCGGGGTGTCGGTTGGCGGGGTGGTTTGGTCTGGGTAACTTTGGTTTGGGTTGGTGGGGTTATCTCCCAGGTCTCCCAAGCTTTAAGCCGGTCTAGGTCTGGGTCCAGGGCCGGTTCGGACGTGCCGCTGGGTTTGGACTTCTGCCGCCTGGCTTTTTTTTCTCTCCTCAGGTGCAGATCAGGCGCAGCAGGATGCGGCGGCGCGGGTACAAGGCCAGGGGTGACTGATGAGCCGAAGACCGAAGTTTGAGGCGCGCAACTGTTGTTGTTGCTTGTGCTGCTGTGACTGCTGGTTTGTGGTTTGCGGTGGTGTGTGGGCTGCGGAAGTTGAGCCGAGGGGGTATCGATTCGACACGAGAGGTGAAGATTAAGAGCCGAGGGGTAGCTCTGGGAGGGGAGCTGCTGCTTGTCTTCTCTGCCGGGGAGGGAGAGAGCAGGGAGGAGCTTCGATGACAGGCGAGCACAGCTCTACTCTATTTACACCCGTCCGACCGAGAGGGACAGAAAGTGGGTGTCGGTGGTGGGGGGGTATGACGGTGGTGGATGCGAGTAGGTACGGATGGTTGTTGAGTGGTATCTTATGGAGGAGCACAAACAACGAAGCAAAGCAGCTGACAGCAACTACAGCAAGTATGGTAGAGAGCCAGCAAAAGAGGTGGAAGCACGGAGGACGAGAAGAGGAAGTGAGAGAGGACGGGATGAACTGGAAGCTTGAGGGACGAGGGGATTTATTGTAATCTGAAAGCTGGGAGCTTGTGAGCAGCTGTGTCAGGGCTCGCTCGATACATGTATCAATGGAAGGGCTGGTTCCCCCCGTCTTCACAACTCTGTTGTGCTTCGGCTGTAAGTAGATACTTCGTATAAGACTGAGATGTAGCAGTAGTCACAATCTCATGGTAGACAGCCCCTGGCAAACATTCTTTCGTCCAGAGTGCGTAACGGGCCATGATCTGTGATTAGTAGGTACACCCCAGCTTAGACCGAATAATGGCAGACAGAGATAGACCAGACCAGGCCAGGCCAGATCCATCCGCCCATGTCCACCGTCCACCCTCAGTCACAGTTCAGACCAAGCCAATCTTGGTGTTGCAGATGGCCGGAGTGACTTGCTCAACGGCAGGGAACCCGCGACGACGATGCTGTAACTGGAGACTGAAGGCTGGCGGCTGGAGCTGGGATTGAGTGACATGACAAGAAGAGAGACGGAGAGCGAGGGACTTGTCCACCCCTCGGTGTCATGAAGGAGGGAACCTTGTCTCCAGCTGCTAGCGCCAAAGTAAAGTATTTCTTGAGGGTCGTCTGTACCGGTGTACTTCCATGGATGCAATTCACAGCCAGAGATGCAAGAGGGACGCGTTGCAGACGCCGCTGGGACGGTGAAGATTTGGCTCAGACGGAGCATAGGATGGTGGTGGGATGGATGGATGGATGGATGGAGGGGAAGAAGAGGGGGAGGGGTGAGACCGCGGAACATGTACCAAGGTACCGAGGTACAAGGTACATCCATACCTAGATACCTAGGCAGGTATTCGTAGTTTTCCCCCCTTCCCTTCCTGCCCCCCTCGTCCACTGACACTCCTTGATTGTGGTAGCTGCCCTGTCTAGGACAGGAGCTTAGGCCACTCTGCGATGTAAGCTGCACTACTCAAACAGCCGCTTTGTCGCGGCAAGAAGGACGAGAAAAAAAGAGAAGGAGCCTCCAGAGAGTCCAGAGGGGGAAAGAAGAGACCCAAGAAAGTCACCCCCGAACGCTATTAGGTACGCGATATGCCAATCAACCACCAAGACGATGACTGGACCGAGAATGACATGCCATAACATGCAATGGAATGTCTCCCCGGCATTCGGCTTCTCGATGTTCATCTCCCATGTCCCCCACCTGACTGACGACAACGGCGGCATGGCATGGCTGATCCTCGCACTTGGGATGTCTGCAGTCCACCGCCTCGCCTTGCTGCCGTCCTTGGCATTAGGTTGAGACGGATGCAGAGCAATGTCACTCAAGTTCCATTTCCAAATGTCTTCAACTTGATGACTCCATCTTGAAGAGGAAAGATGATGGAAAGGCCCGACAACCTGCCAAGGATCAAGGTGCGACAGGTACCCGTATCCAGTATCCATACTGCGTAGGAAACGTCCATGGGAGACCAACCTGAGATGCTGATACCTCTTGGCTCTGCAATGCCCCCGCGAGAGAAACGCCGTGAGAGTCTGAGAAGAAGGACGCCTGCCCTGAGAATAGCAGCAAGACCCCCAATCCCCGCCCATCCCTGACCGAGATCTGTTTCCACCGGCTCCAGCCTCCGTCTCCGTTTATTAGGTCGTCTCCAGCCCGCCGGCGCCTTGACCGCAGCTCCTGAGACGATTGGTGAGGATAGCCAAGAGATCTACCTTCAACAGAAACGACCCCCAAAGAAACACTGTTATCTTTAGAATATGGAACAGCCTCATAGTGAACATGGCAAACCAGAAGAACCTCACGAGAGGCGTCTACCAGGACCCTCAAACACAAGGCCTGGATCTGAAGAATGCAGCTAGCAGTAACAGAAAATAAATAAATATTCTAAAAGTAAAGAAAGATTGGCGGGGTCGCAAAACACCGCTAGACCAGAGGGAATTGACCAACCAGAGCCTGCCGATACAAACAGCTCTACTCCGGTTGACTAACGGTTTCTCGAGGTGACTACTTCAGGACGGGGTTAGTGACATTGCCGGCATGACAAGTGCCTGCTGTCTGTCTATGGGCAACATGGGAAACAGCAGACAAGCACTGTCAACCGATACAAGCAATAAGTGCCTATGCTCGTTACGAGTTCTCAGGAAGCAAGACGGATTGGCACCGACAGCATCCTGTGCAAACAAATGCAAGTTAACAACTGGACTTGCCAATTCAATGAACATCAGTATGGAAAGCACCCCAGGTAGTAAAATGTACCTTGTACTTCGCGCCTGCCTTTTTTATCTTTTTTTGAAGGTAGGTACGGGTGGTGGCGCCTGTCACAAGGCAATACCGCAATTACCATGAGCAACTAGCGGCAGGCAGGCCGACAGCACTGCACCTCACTCTTTCCTTCCTCAGTGCTCTCGGCTTCCCTTCCACCCTCAGGTACCTTGTAAGTTACCTTACCCCAAGTTGCCGTCTACCATGTCACATCAACTCGTCAACTCCCGAAAGAAAAGCAAAACATTCGGCAAACTTCGCGATGCCACGAGCACTTCACGGCTTCACGAGAATAACCTCATGGGTCTTCCGGGCCTCTTGACTGCCGAAGCCGAGGATAACACGGCTTTGCGCCGTGTCCTTCGGGCGTCCGCGTCTTGGAACCAGCACCACTGCCACCAAATCACCACAACTACCGGCTACTCCCTTTTTGCTTCGGGACAACTCGACGCGATATCAGCCTTTGATGGATAATCTTTCACCTGCTCGTCAACTCGTCCCTGACCTTTTTCGCCCTTTCTGCCCCGCGGTCCAATCCATTGCACAATGCGGGGTGACTTTCACAGGGTTCATCCGTCCGGCGCGTCATGCTATACTCGTGCCCCTTTATCATTGTTCCCGAGGCGTGTGCTAGGTACCGCTTACAGCCTACGGCAACGAGAGAGCAAAGGAGACCGAAGATATCGTCGACCTCGGTTTCTTGCCCCGAGGGACATGGCGGCGGCTTGACGGGTCACGGCTGCGTGCCCAGGAACGACGACAAGGCAGGCCACGCCGACCTTGGCCCGGCCTGGCTATCCCACCTAGCCGCCAACCAACCTCCGCCCACACTTTTTGTTCTTCAATTAGGGGGATGGACATCACCACATGTGCAACAGGCCAGCAATACGTACGAGGCCACACGGGGGTTATGGAAGCGCACCACCCCCCAGACCCACCAGGTTCTTCTCAATCTTGACAAAACCACGCATTCCCATAAATTACTTGAGCGTTATTCCCGGTCCACTAGTCAGATCTCTCCCACTACCAACTCCAATCTCGCATCATTGGTTACATGAGTTATCTGGGCTGTCCTAGATTCCTAGACCACGTTCGGATCGACTTTACAACGTCTTTGAAAACGACAACGACGACGGAGGGTTGGAAACGTCAAATCAGTATAGATGCAAGTCTTCGCATCAGCCATCTGATTCTCGACTCATCACACCGCCAAGGTGCCATGCTGGATCTCACTTGCGCTGCAAGTTCAAGGGCGACTCGGCCAGATTATCCTACGCAGCTAAGCCCGGACTACTGGGTAACCTACGATCCAAGACTCTTGGCCCCCCATCTGCAACAAGGCTATTTTTTTTCTTTCCGTTTCCTCTTTCTGCCCCCCCCCCCCCCCAGATCGCGCAAGCACCAAAGCGGCGTTGGCAAGGCCGCAAAGCGCGAAGGAGCGAGAAAATTTGACATGAAATTTTGGAAATAAGCCCACCATGAGATGAGGATGACATTCAACCCAGATCTGGATACTCCGACCTCGGCTGGTCCGGCATTTGGGCATTCGAGCTTCTTGGTCAAAGAAACTGCGCACGTCTACTCACGGCGTATCTTCAGTCCGCCACCAAATCGGCGCGTAGATGTCGATGGTAATAGCAATTAGCGATGGCTTCATGACATGCTGCGACATTTATTTCACCTGGCTGGCCCCCCCTTTCCTTCTTTAGGAGGAAAGGGTCTGCCAGCTTGCGTGATCGGCCTCTGTGTGACTCTTCCACGTCCGGATATCACAGGTTATTTGAGGCATACGCCGTCTGCGTACCCGCCCTGCACCCCACGATTAATCACGCCGGACTCCAGCACATGCGCGGTCCCAAAAGCGAAGATGGATCTGCACTCGGCCGGCCGTCCGGCGAGATCTGCGGCCTGTCCAAGACTCCAAGTGCCAGCAGCGAGGGAGGGGAGTGGGGGTCATCATGTCGGTGCTCTCGCAGTTTCGGAGAGGGCCACCATGTCACCATGCCACCATGCCATGGTGGTGCCGTATACAGTATCCTCGACTCTCGCGGCTTTTTGGTCCAGAGGAGATGAGACGACACCCTATTTTTTGACTCATCGAATTTAGCTCACCCTGTACTGTCTCCGGCCCCGGCCCTGGCCCTTGAAACTATGCGCGATTCGCCCGAAATAGGAGGGCTCCGCTCCGCTCCGTCCGCCAGGGCCGTCAACTGAGGCCCAGAAGAGCGGTTGATTTGGATCCTTGATGCGCGGAAGAAGAAGACGATAGGAACTTTTTTTTTTTCTTTGGTTGTAAGGACTTTGAGAGTTCGGGTCAGAGCCCCGAGAACCGCTGGCCCACAGTCAAAGCACCGTCAAGACGACGACAGCCTCCGTGCCCATTTTCATTCGCCTGCGGCTCACCATTACTGCTACCCACCTTATTCAGGTCCATGTTGTAGTACCTTAGTCCAGGCTGCTTGCTTGGCTTGCGGTCCTTAACCCTTTGCTGCCAAGCACATCACTTTGACTTTTCACGATTCAGAGCTGCCACACTTGCCGGGTTCCAGAAACAGTTCGCTGTTCTATTCTACGACTTTGCGGGCCGCAATGAAGAGGCTCGTCCCCGAGTGTTTCCCCGGGGAATCAGGGTCCGTTTCCGAAAAGCAAAACAACAATGCAAGGTGATGGTACAGAACCGCCAGCTACCGTCCGCCGCGGCTGGGCAATGCCACGTTATGCCACGCTATGCTTTGCCGTGCTGTCGACGGGGATTCCTTCCCGTCAAGACCTTACCACAGCCGTGGGCTCATGACAAGCCCTCGGCGCTCTTTTCACATCAAACTCGAACATCCCCCTCTGCGTCGTTATTATGTTGGCGAGGGCCTTTCCACACCCAGCCAGCAAGTGTCTTCCGCCTCGTATCGCCCCCTTTCCAAGCTTCTCCCTCTCCCTCGAGTGAGGGTTCACACTTATTTGCCGACAGCCTCCTTGACCTTGGTCTCGACCTTGGCCTCGATGGCATCAGCCTTCTTCTGAACAGTCTCGAACGCGTCCTTGGTTGCGGAAGCCTCCTTTCCTCCCCAGTAGTTGTACTGCATGTAACGGTATCCCTGGGTAAGCTGGGCGCCCTCGTTGATGAAGTGGCACATGAAGAGGAGGTAGTTCTTGGGCGAGACGGCGAGGGAGTAGCGCATGAAGGTGGCAGAGTAGATGCAGAGAGCACCCGTCATCTGGCCGGAAATCCTACAAAAAGGAGATGGTGTATCAGCATCTTATCTTGTCCGAGGAAGCGGATAGCGGGGAGACGAGGAAGGATTCGACGTACAGGTCGGGTGACTTTTGGGTGTCCATGACAGCGGCCAGAGGGATACCAAAGTTAGAGACGGGGCCCCAGAAGTCTGTGGTGCATAACGGGTTAGCTTGCCGTCCAGAGTCCATCTTGAAGCTATCGCGAGCGGCCGGCACCGGAGTATCGTGGTCCGTAAGCGCCGGGGGTCTGGAGGGGGGCGGTCCGGCACGCCAATCGCGACGGATTCGTTCAAACGAGCTTCATCAATGATTGTCCGGGACTCGAGGATGCCATGCGATAGCTGGTGATAGCTTCAAGCAAGCTCCCTTTTCCCATTTGCTGTGTGGGATAATCCCCGCTAACTCCGGACAACGGAGCTGCGAGAGAAAGAAAAAAAATTCGAGCGCGGGCAAAAACGTACGGGTAGAGCAGACATAGTCCGACACAGGGTTGGACCTGATCTTCGCGTTGATCGCCTTGACAATAGCAGCCATTTTGAATATGGTGTTTGTGGTTTGGAAAGGGATTATCGTGAAGGGGCAATTGGCAAAGGTTGGTCGGAGAGTGGAAGAGGCGGCGGCGGACAGTTTTCCAGGTTTGGATCGCGAAATTGTTGAGAGGCAGAGGCGATGACCAAAGCTCATTCCTCCCTCTGCAGACAGACACTGCTGCTGCTGCTGCGGCGCTCCGAAATTTCGCGGGCGCGGACTGGACGTGCACTCTACGCTGGCACACTGTCTGGCACACTCCCGCGCACCTTAATCGGACGGGACGGGGACTCACAACGGGCGCCTCTTTACTGGCTATTACAGTGCTGGAGGTGCTGTGGCTTCCTTGCTCCCGGGAATAAAAGGTGGGCATCAAACGGAAATGGTAGAAAAGAAAGGGTCATGATTGGATAGAATTTTCCAGGTCCGTTTGGAGGAGGGAGATGAGCTGTGATGACTAAGGTTGCTTACCTCATATTTGAAGGTGAAGTGCGAACCTCGGAAGGATGAGGATGAGGTTGGTGAAAGCCATTATGCATGGTCAACTAAGGACAGAAAGACCTTGATGATTCTGGGGTACAACACTGCTGGGCATTTCTCGAGGTGTCCATCTTGCGTATACGAGAGATGATAGAGCCTCAAGGGGTGCTGTTTCCAATGCCGATTTTTGACCTTAAGGTGGTTGACGTGAAGAAGAATTAAGTGATTCATCAAATTGATTTGAAAACAAGAAAGAGAATACAACTCGTCCACCCCCCACCCACTTCCTTTGTTGTTGTTCTTTTGCTCCTGCTATCAGAGTAGCTCGAACAATCTTATCCGGAAGAGATAGGTAGTTCAAAGACAGCCAAGGAATCTAGACCAGGACTGCCGGAGTGGTGGATCGATGTTTGGACGGATCTCTGCGGACTGAGCCGAACATCTCGCATTGGAGCGGATGGAGCCGCGGACTAAGGGGGGGGGGGGGGGGGGGAGGCATTTACCACCTTATTTTTTTTATTCATTTTAACGGCCCCGCTTCCCAAAAGAAAATGGGGGAGGTTTTTCCCTGAAACATTTAAGTATTGTAAAAGATTTGAAAAAGGACCCTCCTTATGCGGGGGGAAATGGTGGTTCGGTGTTTGGGGAGGGTGGGGGTGGGGGGATGCCATTATCAGCCTAATTTTTGTAATCCATTTAACTGCACCGCATACCTAACAGATAATGGGGAAGTGTTTGCCTGATACGATTCAGTAATGTTAAAGATTTGGATAAGGTACCTACCTATGCTGAGGGAAATGGTAGATCTGTCGTTCGTGAGCGTGAAGGGTAGGTAGGCCATGGATCATGAAATTAGAGCCCCCCAATTTGACGCGATATCCGTCTCTCGTCTAGTCACTGGAGCCTGGCGCCTATGGAATCAGTTGTATGGGAGTCTTCCCCATGTTTGTATTGTAGATTGAGGGGAGCGGGTAAGGCTGACGGATTGGTGCGGATGCCGCGTGCGACCCCCCGTCCTCCTTTCTGCCAACATGTATCGGTTCTGCACCGCTTCGGTTTCAGGCTGTAGTTCGTTTACGAGATGCACATGTGCACGTTATTTTAAACAATAGCTTACATTCAGTCTAGACTCACAAAACCGCGGATGGAGGTGGAGGAACCCGGGGCGTGCCGGGGTAAAGGAAAACGCGGGGAAGAAGCGGGATGGTATTTCTCGGGGATACTTCGTGTGGAGTCCGGGATTGTTCGTTTGCGGGCTGACGCATGGTGAAGAAGGGGGGTCCGGATGAGATGGCTCGGGGTAGATCTGGGGTTTCGGGGTTGGCTGCTTTTCTGTTTTTGCTTTGGTCGCTCTTTGTTTCTTTGTATCTGCTGCCGTTGTTAGGGGATGGGACATCATCGGGTTCGCAGCCGGGGAGGTGTAAGTTTGGTAGATGTAGCTCGGGAGTGTACCGGCGGGTTCCCGGATTTTGTTCCGAGTAAGGTTGGGCAATGGAAAGGTGTCCATCTTGATAGACCATTCAAATTGAGAGTAAAGGTAAGTTTCTAAGTGATGTGTTTCTCTGCCGGGTTTGTGAGGTCCAGCTGGGTTGAGCACATGGTAGTAAATGCTCGTTGACCAGGGCTAGCTTGCTTGTGTTATCAAGGTATCAGGCATATTGTGAAGTACCTTATTCAACTAGGTTTCCCCACGAGGGTTCATCTGCCTATGCGTTATGATCTCGGTGGACCTAAAGATAATTCTCCATGGGGGCCAAACGTTCAGATGGTGATTTCGGGATGGGACATTCATACTGCTCTCTAATATCTAATATATCACAGAGCATGATCAATGGACCGTTATCTGTTGGCCTGTCACTTTCAAGGCCCGGTTTATCAAAGATTGTCAGATGAACCTGAACCTTCTCCTTCCATTATCAACTTTAAAAAAAAGGCAGAGAAACCTCACTTTACTTGTTATCTTCCACGTCAGGTCTATAAAGAGAATCTCTGCGCTTCAGCGGTGGTTTTCCAGAACACTACAACCTCAAGGGCCTCTTTAGCGCTAACCTGTGGCGGAATCAAGCTTATGGGGCATGATGAATTGGTGTTTAGTGTCTGATAGCAAGGCATCATGCGCAGTATCTCTCACAGATGTGTGCTTGAGGTTGAGGTTGGAAGCTGGAAGTCAAAGATCGAGAGGCTCTAGGTTCCATCTGCTTCGTCTCATTATCAGGCGAATACGTCGATAAGAATGACTTGCAGTTAAGGATGAAGGATTAAGAAGGAGGTGAAGCTGGCTTAAATAAGGTGGGAAATAAAGTGGGAAATAAGGTCACCTGAGCGAGCATTGCATTACTCTGCCAACAAGCTATGGCTTTGGCCAGGCCATCCTACCAATCCCCAGCAAGTGAGTGTACGTCAACCCCAGCCTTGGGGACCGTGGCAAGCCTTTTTGTATGACGCGAATGATTAGTAAGTAGAGTCTGAACATTCGCTCAACGATTTCAGACCTTGAGGTACTTAGTATAAAGGTCATTGCCAATAAATACGTTTTCACAAATATACTCCAGCCCCGTGTGAAGTCGAAGTTGTCAGCACATGGTTATACTAGGAAAGGCGATTGGGAAGAATGTTCTCCACGACTTTCCATCAATGTGTCACTTTCTCTTTAGCAGAATGGAACCACCATGTCAACACTTAAAATTGTTCCGTTTGCGTCCGCAGTTATTTGTTCTACGAATATAAAGCAAACCTGGCTGAGGAGTAGTACTAGAATTCTTTTTCTAAGAGGATGCTGTCGAAGCATCATGCTCTTGCTATGACGGTCGCAGGAATGCGATCAAGACGAACCATTTCGTTGGATTCCTCAGATATGGCCGGTAGGAAAGGGTTTTATTCATACATAGGTCTGGTATGCCGTGAATGAATCCGGCAGTGAATTATGCCTTTGAGCGCTGTTCGCGGCATCACGTAGTAATACTCAATAATTGAGAGGAGAGGCTGAACGTTAGCTTGTGAGCGTGATAGTCTTTCTTGAGTAGGTCCTTGGGATAGGGGTCTTGGGTTTATGCTATCTTGCCTTGATAAGACTTCGAGACTAACGACTATGAGGTTTATTATATGTCACTGCTTTTGTTATTTAAAGTCTTAATACCGAAGAATACCTAAGGGGAAAGATGAGTAGAATAAGGAGGAAAGACATGTAGAAAGAACTTAGTGACTTTGTCTGAAGTTACAGCTCAGAAGCTATGTAGACCTTTGTTTCTATTGTTAGCAGAAGAGCATTCATCTTGTCTCTAGTGTTCTAAGGATACCTAATACACCAAGGAAATCGTTCTCGCAGCGTTCTCGCAGCCTCGGCTCGCCATCGGCAGTGGCTGCCAGATTTCGAGAAGGCCCACACACGTCGACGGCCTCATCCCGTCTTCGCTCCTTCCCTCCCCAGCACCCCTCGCGTCAAACCCAGGCAGGCAGCTTGGCTTATATTCAGGTCCAGGTCGTCATTTATCTCGAGAAGTCAACGGATGGAGGATTTCGTAGGGGCGCAGTTCGATTTACGGACTGCGCACCCGAGCTTTTGCTTTTTCTACCCTCTTGCCCATTTTGATGTCTCCCATCCCACGAATGCAACTGACTAGGCAGCTTCTAATTGACCCGGAAATTACCTGCCCGGGGTCGAGCATCCTTTTGACGATATTGGGAGCAGCTATTCAAGGAAAGAAGCTGACGATCAATGTTGTTCACCGCATGGCATTATCTTCGTCTACTGTACTACGACTACACGATTCCGTAGACATCCTCTTCCATCACAGCTTGGTAGCGCCAGCATTGCCATCCACCTCACCAAACAGCGTCATGAAGGCACCGTGGACCTCGTCAGTCAAGTCGCTCGCCTGCAAGCTGCGGCCCTTCTTCAGGAAAGCACGCCTGGAGCATTCCTATAAGCAATCAGTCAGCCACTAATTCATCCATCATCTCAGCAACGAACACCCAACTTACCCTCGTGATAGCGCTTCCTCCAAAAGCAGCAAGCCTAACCAACTCATCCTCCTTGATCGCATCACCACCCCTATCCCACAACCCCTCAAGATACGCATGCCTCCACCCCAAAAACGTCGCTATCGACCCCGTAAGCGTATCACCCTGCCCACCACTCCTCTTCAACCCGCCCTGCAGATCAACAACCAACGTATCCCTCCCATTCGAAATAAAGTCCTTGGCCCCCTTCTGCACAATAGTCACCCCCTCCAACGCCCTCGCCAGCGCCTCGACCTTGGCCGTCTCCTTCTCCTCCCCACCACCACCCGCCTGCTCTTTCACCCTCCCCTCATCGACCTCGAGCGCCTTACAAAGCCGCGAGAACTCGACAACGTTGGGCGTCAACACGGCCAGCTCGTAGCCCTTTACCAGCCCGGGATCCTTCTGCACGACGAGCAGCGCGTCGGCGTCGAGGACCAGCGGGATCGAGCGCTCGCGGGCGGCGCGGATGACGCGCGCGACGGTCTCCTGCATCAGCGGGTCGCGGCCGAGCCCGGGCCCGATGA